CCATTTGCACAGTTCTTTTTTGTTGTTCTTGCACAGTTCTTTTTGCATCATTCTGTTTTGACATGCTTGGTTCTGCCAACAAAATTGAGAGACTGTATATATTATATAATTATATACATACATAATTATATAATAATTGTATATCTATTTGGCTGCACAGCACAGCATGTGAGATCTTAATTCCCCCACCGGGGATTAAACCTGTGACCCCAGCAGTAGAAGCACAGAGTCCTAATCACTGGATCGCCAGGAAGCCCTTGTATCATTTTTAGATCAGGAAACTGAGCTCTGAGATGCTAGACGGTGGGCGCACGGCGTCCTCCCCGGGTGCTCAGAAATGACAGACACACGCAGACACACTCAAAGACAAGGCAGGGTGCTTCCCGAGGTCCACAAACCGTGAGGGTCCTGGAAGGAAGGGTCTGTAGTGCTGACTCTTTGTGGTTTTTAGGTCTTTCCTTGGATGTTAAGCATTTTTTCCTGTGTTTGCAATTTATATATCTTCTTTGGTGAAATCTCTAACCTAGTTTTTTGTCCTATTTTTTGGTTGTTTTCCTTGTTACTTTTGACTTCTGCGAATAGAATTCCTTTATCTGACATACATTTTTGTAAAGATTTTCTCCCAATCTGTAAGAGAAAGAAGTCTGCCTTATTTCTGATTTCAGAGTGAAAACACTCTCTTCACCATTAAGTGCAATGTTTATGGGTTTTAGCTGCTCTTTATCCAGTTGAAGAAGTTTCCTTCTGTTCCTAGTGTGCTGAGAGTTCTTAACATGAATGGATGTTGAATTATGTCAGATATTCTTTCTGAATCTATTGAGATGAACTTGTGTTTTCTCTCTTTGCATTTGTTAAGATGGTGAATTACATCAATTGGTCTTGACTATTAAGCCAACTTTGCATTCCCGTGGTGAATTTCCTTAATGATAAGGCAGTGTCCTCTTTATGTATTGCTAGATTTTATTTTCTAGACTTTTTAAAAAGATTTTAATGTTTATGAGGGGAATTGGCATTTTTTTCTGTGTAATATCTGTTTTTTGTAGCAAGGTAATGTTAGTCTTATAAATACAATAGGAAGCATTCAACTCTCCTGTTTTCAGGAAAAGAATTATGAAATTTGTATTATTTATTCCTTATATATTTGGAAGAATTTATCAGTGAATTCTTTATCATTTTTTTCCTGTCATTTTTTTTTAAATTATGGATTAAATTTCTTTATTGTAAATAAGTCTGTTCAGGTATCTATTTCTTCTTAAATTAGTCATGGTTGTTTATATCTTTTACATAAATTTTCCATTCCATCTAAGTTTGATGCCAAATTTACTGGCATCAAATTCAAAATAATTCCCTAATTCTTTAACATCTGTAGAATCCATAGTGATTTTTTTTTTTAAGTGGGTGAATTTACACAGTGACACGAACAGGTGCAATGTTCTATGAACATTCTGATATATGCCTACACCTGAGTAACTAACACTCAATCTGCATGAAATGGTTTCTTCAGATAATTCTTTCTTGATAACTTCCAGCTTACCCCCGATCCCCACTGATATGAACTCAGTTATCATGATTCTTTTTGTCTGGTTTGAACTTCATGTGAATGGAAATAGCAGGCTTTGTGTCAACTTTGCCCAGCATGCTTTGGAGAGTCAAACACATGGCTGTTCAATTTTTTTTTTTTTACTGCTGTATAGAATTACATTGTGCAGCTATATCACATCCATTCTCCAGCTGATGGGTGTTTCCAGCATAGGGCTATCACAAATAAAGATGCTACGGAGATTCTCATGTCTCTTCGTAGACGTATGTTCTGCTTTATCTTGGGTAAAAAGTGTGGCATTGTGGAGTTGTAGGGTAGGTATGTGTCTGAAAGCAGCTGACCGCTCACCCAGTGGTTGTGCTGTTTCTATCCAGTGGTGTATGGATACTCCATTTGCTCCACATCCTCATCTTTATTTGCTGTTGTGAATCTTTAACATTAGCCATTCTCAAGTGTACAAGTGTTATTTCACTGTGGTTTGACACTCCTGATGACTCATGATTTTAAGCCTTTTTTCAAACTAGCTATTGATATACCTTCTTTAGTGAAGAATCTTTTGCCCATTTTTTAAATTGTTTTTCTTTTTATTGATTTGTAGGAGCTCTTTATTTATTTTGGATGCAAGTCTTTGTCACATAGCACTGTCAATAGTTTCACCTCATCTGTGGTTTCTCTTTTCACTTAATGGTGTATTTTGATGAAGTCTAATACACTAATTTCTTCTTTTGTATTTAGCACTTTTTGTATTTCTTAAAAAAAATCTTTGTCTATACCAAAGATATTTTAATATTTTTAAAGATATTTTAATATTTTTAAAGATATTTTAATATTTTTAAAATTGAAGTACAGTTGGTTTATAATGTGTTAATTTCTGCCACACAGCAAAGTGATTGAGTTACATGCATACATATTTTTATACTTTCTATTACGGTTTATCATAGGATATTGACTGTAGTTCTCTGTGCTGTACAGTCGGCCTTTGTATATCCATTCTGTCTATGAGAGCTTGCCTCTGCTAACCCCAGCCTCCTACCCCATTCCTCCCCCAGCCCCCTTACCTACCAGTCTGTTCTCTGTTCCTTGAGTGTGTTTCTATCTCATGGATAGGTTCATTTGCCATATTTTTAGAGTCCACAAGTCATATCATATGGTATTTCTCTTTCTGACTTACTGCACTCAGTATGGTAATCTCTAGTTGCACCCATGTTGCTGTAAATGGCATCATTTCGCTCTTTTTATGGTTGGATGGCATTCCATCATGTATACGGACCACATCTTTACCCACTCTGTTGATGGACATTCAATTGCTTCCACGTTCGGCTGTTGTATACAGTGCCACTGTGAACACTGGGATGCATCTTTTTTTTAAAAAATATTTTTCTGCGTCGGGTCTCAGCTGTGGCATGTGGGGTCTTAGTTCCCCGACCAGGGATCAAGCCCATATCCCCTGCATTGCAAAGTGGATTCTTAACCAGTAGACCACCAGGGAAGTCCTGCATGTATCTTTTTGAATTATAGTTTTCTCTGGAAATATGCCCAGGAGTGGGATGGTTGGATCATATGGTGATTCTACGTTTGGTTCTTTAAGGAACCTTCATACTGTTTTCCGTAGTGGCTGCACCAACTTACACTCCCACCAGCAGTGTAGGAGGGTTCCCCTTCCTCCACACCCTCTCCAGCATTTGTTATTTGTAGATTTTTGAATGATGTCCATTCTGACTGCTATAAGGTGCCACCTCATTGTCACTCTGATTTGCATTTCTCTGATAATTAGTGATGTTGAGCAGTCCTGTACTATTTTAAAGACGCCCCCCACAAGTTAACATTGGCTAAAGTAAAGAAACTGGACAGCAGTGTTAATACATGAGAATTTATTCCTGACGAGGTGAAGATACCTGGTTGCACGTGGATGGGAATTCAATAATTTATGTGGATTTCTGATGGGCTCTTACTCTAGTTTTTCATGTGTGTACAAAGCAGAATTCCACCTCTGCCCTCTGCTGCTGGTCTTGTCTTCCCTCTGGAAGTCAGGGGAACACACCTTCCCCAAAAGGACAGACTGGGGGGAGTCAGCCGCCTGGCTCTTCTCTGCACCACAGTCTCGGGACATCCCAGAACATGATCAGACCTTCCAGAATGCTTAGGTTCTGTAGACCCGGCCAGAGGCCAGGCTACAGCTCTCAACCGGGAGTCACTGCAGACACCTCGGAAGCCTGGCTGTGTCCTGGCATGATGTCTAACCAGGTCCCCCAAACCCAGAGCAGAGGGTGTGGCAGCCAGCCTCCTGTGGCGTAGCGTGCTGTGGCTCCACGGGGGACAGCCTGGGGCCCTGACGCAGCGCTCCCTGTGCCCAGCAGCCAAGCCAAAACAGGGACGAAAGCTCAGTGTTACAGTAGAATTGTACAAAAGGTCTTTTGCTAGTATGATTATTTTCAGTTAAATAATAAGGCACTGTCTACATATACATTACACGCTGTGCACCCAGGATCCAGATGCAGTGGAAATGGACACGCATGTCCAGTAAGGGTTTGTTTGTGCTGTTTTAGATAGAATGCTGATCTTTGGTATAAAAAATGTCTCTTTTCATTATAAAAACACTGCATCTGTCATACATTGACATGAATCAGCCATGGATTTACATGTATTCCCCGTCCCGATCCCCCCTCCCACCTCCCTCTCCACCCGATTCCCCTGATTCCCCTGGGTCTTCCCAGTGCACCAGGCCCGAGCACTTGTCTCATGATTCATGTCAGTGTATGACAAAAACCACTACAATATTGTAAAGTAATTAGCCTCCAACTAATAAAAATAAATGAAAAAAAAAAAAAAACCCTGCATTTGTTAAAAAGAAAAAACACAGAGCCTGCCTCAGCCCCGTGCAGATAGCCTCGCCCCAGTGCTGTCCCCTCCCTGGGCGGGCTCTGTCCCCTGCTCCGACGGGCGACAGCAAGGGCAGGCACAAACCTACTCAACCACAACGTGGTCATTTAGAAGCAGCCCTTCTCATGAGCTTTACTGGAAACAAGAGGTCAGTGTGCGGGTGCTGGGCTCCTGTAAGCCCAGCGCCTGGTATCTGCTGAGTGAGTGAGGGCAGCGGGTGGGAAAGCATGGCCAGAGACCGGCAGTCTGCAGCTCACAGGTGCTTTAGCTCCGTGGCTCTCGGCTAGCCTGGCGCTGGCCCAGGGTGTAGATCCTGGAACCATCCAGACAGCACGGGAGGGCTTCTCGGCAGAGGCTGCCTGAGAAACACCTCCCCACCCCCGGAAACGGTCCAGTTTCATCAGCTAACGTCCAGGAGGGGAAGTGTGACAACAGCGGTCAGAGAGCCCAGGAGGCCCTGCAGTGGGCCCGCCCTGACGCCAGGCAGATGACCCCGGCCGGCTCAGGCCGCCTCCCCTCGGGAAGCGCCAGCAGCTGTCAGAAGGTGCATCCCTGGCTCGCAGTGCACACGCCCCCTTGGTCACTCGACCTTCCAGATGGCGATCTTCCCCTCCTCACGGCCGGCGCCGCTCAGCACGTATCTGTCCTCCGCAGAGCACAGCGTCTTCACCGTGTCCGCGTGGGCCGCCAGCTCCTTCTCCACCGTCCTCCTCTCCGCATCCATCACATAGATCTTCCCCTTCAGTCGCCCCTGTGACAGCCCCGTGGCACCCACCCAGATCTGCCAGGAGAAGCGGGCATCACATGTGTAGCCCAGCTGGGAGGCATGTGGGGCCCCCAGTCAGGCAGCAAGGGGCACCCCCAGGCCCATGTCCTCTCACCTGCTTCTTCACCCTGATCATGCAGTTGATCTCAGAGCAGTCCTGGAGATGGATCCTCTGCGGGGGCTGGGCTAGGTCCTGCAGGCTCCAGACGTAGACGTCAGGGTACCCGGCACAGGCCGCCCAGAGCTGCTCCTGCTAAAGTGAAACGGGTCAGGGCAAGCACAGCAGCAGTCCCGCGGCTCGGGGGTGCCAGCCCAGCCCAATGTGCTGGGGTACCTCGGGCATGAGCTGGAATCCCAGGAAGGAGGTGCCTGTCTCTTTAAAGCTCCCGTCGATCTTCAGCTCTTGACAAGGAGATCCATTCATGTTCACCACCAGGATGCTGTCTCCAGTGCCTGCAGGACCGAAGAGCAGGATGAAGGGTGGGCAGAGTGAACGGGAAGAGCAGGGACGAAAGGGCCGTGGGGGCTCGGGGTGACCAGCAGGCCCCTTCCCCACATCTGAGTGTGGCGTGAGACTCTGACTGTAGCCTTGGTGTTACAGGCCTAGACAGCTTATTAAAAAGCAGAGACATTACTTTTCTGACAAAGGTCCATCTAGTCAAAGCTATGGTTTTTCCAGTAGTCATGTATGGATGTGAGAGTTGGACCATAAAGAAAGCTGAGTGCAGAAGAATTGATGCTCTTGAACTGTGGTGTTGGAGAAGACTCTTGAGAGTCCCTTGGACTGCAAGGAGATCCAACCAGTCCATCCTAAAGGAAATCAGTCCTGAATATTCATTAGAAGGACTGATGCTGAAGCTGAAACTCCCAATACTTTGGCCACCTGATGTAAAGAACTGACTCATTGGAAAAGACCCTGATGCTGGGAAAGATTGAAGATGGGAGGAGAAGGGGACGACAGAGGATGAGATGGTTGGATGGCATCACTGACTCGATGGACATGAGTCTGAGTAAACTCCAGAAGTTGGTGATGGACAGGGAGGCCTGGCAGGCTGCAGTCCATGAGGTCGCAAAGAGTCAGACACGACTGAGTGACTGAACTGAACGTCCACGTGGTGCTTTCACATCTTCCCTCAGAGACCCTTGGGTGGTTAGTACCATCTTTACCGACAAGGAAGCCGGTAGAATCCTTCCTGCCATGGTTATTTGCAGTCAGGCCATGTGATACCCCCATGGGTAAAGATTAGAGCTCTAGGTGATGGTTCCCAGCCTTGTGGGACACATCTCTCTGTCGAAGCTCCTCTCTGTCTGCTTCTATTAATCACTCAAGCAAACCAAGTCTCCACATCATGAGAGCTACAGGTCATCACAATTATCCAGCAGCGAGGTCATCAGATCAAGTTTAAGGTGAGGAGCCAAAGGGCTGTCCTCTTGGGGCTTTTATTGCCTGCTCCCTCTGCCTCCCACCCTGCATGAAGCCACAGGGACAGGAGGACGCAGCCCCGCCCTGCGGGCAGCACCGTCCGGTTGCAGAGGGAGGAGGTGCAAGCCCCCCAGAAGGGCTCCAGCTTCCTGTCATGATGGTTGGACTCCTAGCCCACCAAGAAATGACCCTTGGCCATACTCGGAACTTGGGAGCTCAGCTGGGTTCTCAGTCACAGGAGGCGAGAGCCTCTCCTTCCTGCCTGAGACCTAATAGAAACCCCAGCATCCCTCCAGAAAGGCTTTCATCCCGAGATGCCATCATCCACTTGCCCTAATTAAGAAGGTCCTTTCAGATGCTTCTACTTGTTAGGAATACCTGGGCAGCAGGAGGTCCGGCCAAGAGGCACTCATGCCCCCAAGGACCCCCTCCTTAGTGCCGACCAGCACGCTCACTGCCCATGAACACTGCAGAGGGCGGCAGGCGGATTTCAGAGCCACCCAGCCTGTGTGAGCGCGCAGGGGGCCTGCTGCACACGGAGCAAGGGGTGGGGCCACAGATGTGGGTGAACCGATCACAGGCCTCGAGGTGCCCAGCCCGTCAGGGCCGCCTTCTGGGGTAACGGTCAGTGACCCTCACAGCCACTGACACTCCGAGGCCCACATTCTGCCTCTTGCATCTCCCAGCCGCCAGCCTGCTGTCCAGTGGAAAAGATGGCATTTCCACCTTATTTTTCAGATGAGCAGAGAGACTGAGGTGCCAGGGACCAAGCCAAAGTGACCAGCCGTCTGTGACGACCCCGGATCTGACACTGAACACAGAGCCCGCAGCCTGGACCACACATGCGCCTCCCAGTGCCCACCTCCAACCGCAGGGAGCAGGACGAGCTCCACTCCCTCCCAGTAACCGCTGGAGCCGCGTCCTATGAGAGGCGCTCAGGCCTGGGGCTGGGGGGGGTTGTAGTGCTGCAGCAGACGCAGACTTAGGGGAAGGTACAGAGGGTTTGAAACACTGACCAGACTGGAGAGGGAAGTCGGGACCCCCAGGCTCACCTCACCAAGGGCCTGTGGGGGAGTCAGAGGCATCACCCTGCCCCTCCACACTCACATCCTTCTAGGCTATACCTCGGTGCCCACAGACCCCATCAGCTGAGTGACTAAGGTTTTAGCTTGTTATCCTTGCTTAAAGACTTGGAACAGCACTTCACAGGAAACATTGTTCTTTACCCAAAGAAACCCTGCTTTCCTCGTGTGCTTTTCTCATTGTTAAATAGGAAAACTACTTACTATACTCATTAACTTGAAAAATATGAGGAATTCTACCCGGAAAACAAGGTTATCTCCTCTCATTCTAATCTGTTATATTGCTCCCCATATTTAACAGGGATTTTTAGCCCCAGATGCATCCAGGAGTGGACGCACACACATCTGACAGTCGCCAGAGGCCAAAGCTGAAGGACACAGTCTTGGGAAGAATGAAATTCAGCGAGCAGCACAGCTCCCAGGGTTCCCCTCAGTTCAAGAAAGTAAACCGCAAGCAAGATCAATACAAAGCCCTTCACACCCAGCTCATGCAAACCAGAGACAGGACCTTAAAAGCAGCCACTGACCCCAGACACATTCTGTTCAGCAGAACAGTGGGAATGACGGCCAACTGCTCATCAGGAACTAGAAGAGCTGCGAGACAACGGAATGACATTGCTAACATGCAGGAAAACTGCATGTCAGCCTGGACTCTGTTTACAGCAGACACAGGTCATTGGAAATCCAAGGCTAAGAGGCAGTGATGCAAGACAGAAACCTGAATTTTAAGAAGGGACGAAGGTCACCAGATATGATAAATATATGGACAAAAATAAATTTTTTTCTTAATTTCTTTGCAAGACCATTGAGTACTTAGGCAAAATTTTCTAAAATATGAAGTTTATCACAATCGCATTTAACAACAATAGGAAGGGGAAAGAAAGGTAAATGAAATTAATTCTGCTGTGCACTGTGTCCATTATACATGAAGTGGTGTAATAGTTATTGAAGGTATGTAGTGAGAAGTTAAGGTTGCATATTGAAATCCTTAGAGCCGTTGCTAAAAGGTAGAACAAAGCCCAAAGAACAAGAGAGACAATAAAGAAGATTAAACTGAATAGTAAAAAAAAAAAAGCCCAAAAGGAGGCAGGAAAGGAGGAACAAAAGAAGTACAGATGGGAAAATGGAGGGGAAAAAAAGGTTTACACCCAGCCATGTCATTAATCGCCTTGAAAGTGAGAAGACCTATGAGCACAGGGTCTGAATAGACATGTCTCTGAAAAAAACACAGAGATGGCAAACAGTCTGTGAGTCATTGGGGGAAATGCAACCAAAGTCACAGTGAGATGCCACTTCACACCCACCAGGACAGTTACAATAAAAAATAGATGATAGGTTTGGTGAGGACGGGGAGGAACTGGAAGCGTCATGTACCACTGGTGGGGACATAAAACCATGTGGCAGCTTCAGAAAAGATGACAGTTTCTCAGATGGTGAAACATGGTTAACCCAGGTCCACCCACAGGGGAACCAGTAACCGGGCTGTAGCATCCACACAGTGGAACGATCGCGCTGTCGCTCCACAAACACTGTGGATGATGAACCCTAAAAACATCATGTTGCCTGTCCTGAGCCAGATGAAAAGAATGCACACCACAGAGCCCATCTACAGAAAGTTCAGGAACCAGGAGAACAAACGCACAGGAGAATCCAGAACAGGCATTTCCCTGCAGAGGGGCACAGCGGGGCCAGGCCCCGAGGGAAACCTTGTGTCTGCCCTGTCAGGCGTTATGTGGTGTGCACTTTCAACACACAGCGAACCACACACACACTGTGCATCTCATCACAGGTAAGACATGCTTCGATTTAAAAAGTATCCATGACCATCGTCTGTGGTATCTGGCACACGCTAGCGAAGCCTTCAAAGTGCAAGCCACCTTTGCACTGAAATGCTCATGAATACAGAAGCCACGCCTCAGGCGTCTGCACCTCCCCATCACAACCCGCCCCGCTCGGCGAAGTGCCGGCTTAGGACCACTCACTTCAGCACACAGAGGATGGCGCCGGGGGGCTGCGGGAGGAGCGGCCATGGCCCAGGGGGCGCAGCGAGAGCAGGGGGGAGGAGCACCGGGAGAGGAGCACCGGGAGAGGAGGGGCACGGAGGCAGGGGGTGGGGAGGGAACAGGCAGCTGGAGGGGGGGCATGGGAGGGGGCGGGGCACATGAGGGGGAGAGGGCAAGGTTGGGGGCACAGGAGGGGGAGGGGCGGAGGGGCAGCGGGGGGAGGGGCACAGCAGGGGGTGGGGCAGCGGGCAGCCGCACACTCAGGAGGGATGTGGGGAGCAGGAGCACAAAGAAGGAACCTGCGTTCTGAAGCCCCAGTTGGAATGAGAGGCAGAGGAAAGGGCCTGGCCTCTTCCTGGCCTAGCAGGGGCAGGGGCCAGGGCTGGGGCACTTACAGCACCAGAGGCGGCCGCCGTGCAGTCTGATCGCCGAGAGCCCTCCACCGGGCACCTGGAACCTGCCGATCACCCTCAGGGAGCTTGCGTTCCAGGCCAGGACCGTCCCGTCCACGCTGCACGAGTACACGGTGCTGGCGGGCGAACAGACGCGCACACTTAACTGCGGCCCGAGAAGACCACGCGATGGTGGTGATGACGCTGATGATGGAAAGACGGCCCTTCCATCCAGAAAGAACGACGCTGCCACCTGGCTCAGCACTCACGGCCCCGCCGGAGGGGACAGCGCGGACACCAGGGTGGTGGGGTAAGCTCAGCACCCACGCCAGCCCGGCACCTCCCACCACGGCTCGCCGCCCCCTCCATCAGGGACTGTGAGCAGAACCGCTCACTAAGATCTACCTCCCCCATCAACAGGCCAGAAACCCAGTGCTCCCGGCACCCCCGCACACACGAGGCCAAGGGTCAGCAGGGCTCTGGGACTGGCAGCTGCGGGGGGGTGGGGGGGGGCGGGCTCAGCTAGTGCTGTGTGCCCTGCACGTCCTGATGGCGTGTCACCTTCAACTGAGGACCCAAGTCCCCCCAACTGAGGACACTCAGCACCCCTGACCCTCGGGGGACAGGAGGTGGGGGTGGCACCAGGGGAGCAACCAAAAAGGAGCCGTGGCCACTTGTGTCCACTTGCTCCCAGGTCACAGCGGGAAGCGGGCTCCGCCGGGTGCTCAGCACCCCCGACCCCTCACCTGCGGTGTGCCAGGCCCCCATCCAGGCCCAGGCCACAGCGAGGGAGCAGACGGGGGCTGCCCTCAGGGCCTGGAGACAGCCGACAGGTTGAACTGCGGTCCCGAAGAAAGATATGTTGATGCCCTTAACCTCCAGCACTTCAAATGCCACCTTAGTTCACAGCAGTGTCTTCAGAGAAGTAGTTAAGTGATGCTAACAGGGTGGACCCTAATCCAGTACTGACCAGCGTCCTGATAAGTGCACAGCTGGACAGAGGCACACGGGGTCCCATGCGAAGACAGGGACTTCAGTGATGCATTCACAGGCCAAGGACGGCAGACCAAGCCCAGAGCCAGGGAACGGGCGGGGAGGCCAGGGGCCCGCCGCGTGCTCACCATGCTCACCCCGGAGGGGGTCTTCTCTGACCACGTCCTCAGACCACTTCTCTGTACACAAGACCAGAGCCATGCAGGGACGTCCTCTGGCTCACCTCCCAGACCTGCTTCGCTCCCCCTGCCTGGCCACTGGGACCCTGCCCTCTGGGACCCTGACCCGCCCACGAGCCAGGCGGCCCCCCACCCAGTGAAGCCCACCGCACCTGGTCGCCTGCACACCATCCTGCACAGCCAGGCCCGTGACGCTGGAGCGGTGGTCAGTGAGCTGCTTGTTGCAGGACATGCTGTGGACATTGATGATGTAGATGACCGAGTCCTCCGAGCCGACCCACACCTGGCTCTGCTCCGCCATCACCATGCAGTTCTGTCGGACCAAGGAGACAGCAGCGCGGTCAACGGCCTGTGTGTCCCACGCCGAGCCACCACTCCCGGGAACTCACAGGCTCAGGTTCCTGCTGGCCTCGGGTCACACCACTGTCACGCAATCAACATGTCATCACTGATGTGCATTTCTGTTTAAGGACACCTTTGATCCTTGAACAACACAGGTCCGAACTGTGTCTGCACCTTCTCCATAAGGCTCTTCAGCTATACGCTAGGGCAGCATTTTAAACAGCACAATCACACACACACAGAACACACGAATGTGAAAGACATGGCATTAAATAGGCCATGAAAAGGATACCAGTGCACAGTTTGAGCTGACCCCAGAGGCAGAGTCGCCTTGCCCGACCTTGGATAAAACGTGCACTCAGCTCCCAGGCCCTGTCCACAAGATTGTCCCTGGACAACCACGAAACCTCCATTAGCGTTTGTTCTGGGGCCACAAATCAATGAGCGATGAGGCAGATCTGCACACTCAGTTCAGTTCAGTTCAGGCACTCAGTCGTGTCCAACTCTTTGCGACCCCATGAATCGCAGCACACCAGGCCTGCCTGTCCATCACCAACTCCCGGAGTTTACTCAAACTCATATCCATCGAGTCAGTGATGCCATCCAGCCATCTCATCCTCTGTTGTCCCCCTTCTCCTCCAGCCCCGAATCCCTCCCAGCATCAGGGTCTTTTCCAATGAGTCAGCTCTTCGCATGAGGTGGCCAAAGTATTGGAGTTTCAGCTTCAGCATCAGTCCTTCCAATGAACACCCAGGACTGATCTCCTTCAGGATGGACTGGTTGGATCTCCTTGCAGTCCAAGGGACTCTCAAGAGTCTTCTCCAACACAACAGTTCAAAAGCATCAATTTTTCAGCGCTCAGGTTTCTTCACAGTCCAACTCTCACATCCATACATGACGACTGGAAAAACCGTAGTCTTGACTAGATGGACCTTTGTTGGCAAGGTAACGTCTCTGCTTTTTAATATGCTATCTAGGTTGGTCATAACTTTCCTTCCAAAGAGTACTAGCAACAAACAAAACTCCCAGTGCTCCTGCAGCTGGAGACAGCTCTCAGGGGTTCCGGCATGGCAAGAACCGACAACAGTGAATATCTGTAGAGTTTCCGAAATTAGAAATTAAGGGCTAAAACACTGAAGAGTTATACAAGCCACGTAAACGTGTGAACCATAAGTGTGTCTGCTGGTACATCTCAACCAACCCGACTGCATCCCTAAAAATTTCCTGAGCTGGTGTCGGCCTTCATCCATGACACTAGCAGCATTTTACTGAAACTGAGCAGATGCCTCAGGTTTTCAAATACAAGAGTAACAGTTACATCATGTTGGAGGGCTGAGGTTAGATCTAATACAGTAAATCACTATCGATGGTGGTTACCATTACTTATCTGGTGGTTGCTTTTACTTATCATTACCACATGAAAGAGCTTATAAAAACTGATAGTTTCGATTTTACCAATACGTATTCTCGAAAGATGCTACTTTGCTAATTTCAGAATTAATTATTTTAAAAAGCTCTTTCTTTTGTGGCATCTACCAGAGAATTATTATAATTTTAGTAAAATGTCTTTCTTTAGTGGCCCAAGGATATCTCAGATAAACCACTTTGAACTTCAAATTTCAGAGGATGCAGCATTTTCTAGAGATAACTGCCCAACTTTCTGCCTTGCCAAATGATACAAACTGCTCCTGTGAAACTAGTGGGAAGATATTTTCACATAATTTGTTAACTTTCTGCTTTAATTAAATGTTACCTGGCCTAACTGCCAATCAATAGAGATTGATACAAAATGCAGCCATTTGATTTCATTTTCAGGAGGATTTTAAAGTTATTCTATTATTAAACAGTCTTTGAAATGCTTGTAACTAAGAAGCAACAGGAAAAAATTAAATTTTAGAGTAATAATGATGTCCTTAATTTTTCCTTCTTATTTTTTGTTTGATCTAAAGCGTTATTAGACTTCTATAAATATTTTGCTCTAATGTGTCTTGAATCCCATTCCTTTCTCATCCAAAGCTCATTATTTGAATGTCGAGGGGGATGGTTTTTAGCAACTTTAAGAATGATCCCCACCCTTTGGCAACATGGATTTGAATCACAGTGTTTCTGTTTCACCCCAGTTTTGAAAGCATAGACTGTGCCATAGATGTGCCTTGCTTTTAGATGATGGAACGTGACCATCAAAGTGAACATAAGCTGAACACTTAGATATGCAAACTTCACTTCCCTTGCTTTTCACAGGAAAAAAAAAGTTGTTTCATGTTAAAGAAGTTGGCATGAAAATTTTCCTAGTAAGACACCTTGGGACAGTGGCTTCTTTTGTACCCTGAGGGTCTTGAACAGGGTGAAGCCCACCAGAGAGGAGGTGTGACAGCATTTTGAACAGCAGGGTAGCATCGCTGAAGACACGCGAACCCCACCAGAAAGAAAGCACCGACCGCCCCTCTCCTAGAAACACCAGAATTTACAAGGCCCATTCCAGGTGTGGCTGTGTTAGGCCCTGGGGCATGTGGGTGACATCACACAAAAACAAATGATTTTCAAAAAGCCATGAGAGGCCTTGAGAAACCTCCAAAAACCAGTGGGCTGATCCTGGTAGCACTAACGGCTACAGACCTAACACTTGACCCCAGGCTTCTAGGGGCTGGGGTGAGGTGGTTTTTGCACAAAATTAAAAGACACTTGCTCCTTGGAAGAAAAGCTATGACCAACCTAGATAGCATATTAAAAAGCAGAGACATTACTTTGTCAACAAAGGTCCATCTAGTCAATCTATGGTTTTTCCAGTGGTCACGTATGGATGTGAGAGTTGGACTATAAAGAAAGCTGAGCGCTGAAGAATTGATGCTTTTGAACTGTTGTGTTGGAGAAGACTCTTGAGAGTCCCTTGGACTGCAAGGAGATCCAACCAGTCCATCCTAAAGGAAATCAGTCCTGAATATTCATTGGAAGGACTGATGCTGAAGCTGAAGCTCCAATACTTTGGCCACCTGATGTGAAGAACTGACTCATCTGTAAAGACCCTGATGCTGGGAAAGACTGAAGCCGATGGGAGGAGAAGGGGACAACAGAGGATGAGATGGTTGGATGGTATCACCAACTCAACGGACATGAGTTTGAGTAAACTCCGGAGCTGGTGATGGACAGGGAAGCCTGGTGTGCTGCAGTCCATGGGGTCACAAAGAGTCAGACTCAACTGAGCAACTGAACTGAACTGAACTTTCTTTTAACAAAGTTGACTAAGTTATCAGTCTAAAAACTCAAACAATTGAGGTTTCTCAACCACACGATAACTATGATATCATGCAAATTTTATTTAAGTGGTTCTCGGTCTCGACCCCAAATATGTTAAAATAATTCCAGTGTCCGCTTTGGGTGACTGGAAATGTAAATGTGAGAATATTGCCCTGCCCTTCACAGGACTGAAATCCAGTTTTATAATAGTTTTCAAAGTGCAGGGGTGGTTAAAGCCATTATCTGCTCACTTAAATGAGAATATTTAAGTGAAAGACAGAACAAGTTTACATTCCATTTAAAAGCTTGAGATAAAAATGAAAACCCCTCAGGCTTCCCTGGGGGCTCAGTGATAAAGACTCTGCCTGCGAATGCAGGAGACGTGGGGTCGATCCCGGATCCAGGAAGACCCCACATGCTGTGGAGCCCTAACCCCAACTAAGCAGGATGCCGCGGAGTTCAAGTATCCACTGCCTGTGCAGGTGGACATGCTCGCTCTCCAAAACCGCAGCCTGACCTGGAAGCCGATGAAAACTGTCCACGCTGAACAGCACCCCGTTTACTCACCAGCCTAGACGTGCCCACTCTAAAGCAGTGCTGGTGAATCGTCCAGGAGGAAGCGTCGAATACGATCACCTTGCCCTCGTTCAGCGCGCACCATAATTTGGGGTGAGCATCCTCCACTTTTTCCGCTGGGTCAAGATGCCCTGAAGAGGAAAGCAACCCAACGTGTTGAGAGAAAACCCTCTGCTGCATCAGCTCCGGATTTGTGATTCGGGCCAAGACTCAGGTCCTGCTCAGTGCCAGGTGCCACCCTGGGTGCCCAGGCTCCAAAGGTGAGCACAGCCTGAACCGCCAAGCCCCTGGGAGCTCAGAGTCGCGAACCGGCTGGTTCAGCCAGAGAAGCACACACACCGAGCCCTCCGCCAGGCAGGATGGCAGGAGTCCTGAGCATTCTCTTGCGGGCAGTGCTTCAGGCAGCGGGAAGGGGGCTCAGGGACAGAAGAAGGGTCTGCGGCCACTGCGCCCCCCCCTCGCCCCCCCACCCCGAGCACAGCCAGGCTCCCACTGTCCCCACGTGGCCACCCACACTTGGCACCATCAGTCTTTCCCATCGTGGCCACTCTGACACCGTGAAGATTTTGTTTTTTCACTTGTGATTTGTTTGCATTTCCCTGGCGCTCACGAGGCTGATGGCTTTAGTCAGGTGTCTGGATCTCCTCCATGGGGAAGTGTTTACGCCTCCTGCCTGCTTCTGAATCAGGCTCTTACTCTCCTTGACTTGTAGCCGCTCTTTAAATACCACCGACTTCAAATACCCCATGTCGAGTCTATCCTCTTACGAACATCCTTTCCAAGTCTGCAACTATCACTTTCACTCACTTGAAAGTTTCTTTTAAAAATCCTTTATATGGTCAAAGTCACCAACCTACTCCTTTACGGCTCGTGGTTTTCACGTGCCTTGTGACTGACTCGTTTCCTTATCTTAGGATCACGATTGTTGTCTGTATTATCATCTCCAAGCTTCACTTGCTTATGTTTGCTTTTGCCTTTCAGCTCTCCATCCTTGGAGCCCATGGCCGCGTGTGATCTGAGGTGTGCTTGAGCTCCATCTCCCCTCATGGACCCACGGCATCCCAGCACCTCCTACGATGGAGACAGTCTCTCCCCCACCCCTGCTCTACAGCACCTCCTCAGTCCTAGTCCAGGAAGTGTGAATCTGCCAGTCTTTCTGGGGTGTTCATGCCTTGGTCTCCTGGCCCTGTTGGGGTGATCTGCCCACTGAGACGCAATCTGTAGTTCCCCAGAGTCTGAGATGCTCCAAAGCCAGGCTCAGTGCCCAGGGCCTGGCTCCCTGACTCCCAGCGTTCGCGGAGGGCTTGACTGACGCTCCCCTGGTCCCTGACCGGGGTGGAACGGCCAGCTGTGTCATCAGACGTGGCCATCACCTGAGGTTATCAGAGGGGCCATCACCCCATCCCAGCGACAACAGGCTCACCCCAACCAAAGATGTGCGTGCAGGGGCTGCATCCGCTGGACGTGAGGATGGCGAGGCTGGATGCGGACTCAGCCACGCACGGCCCTTGTGGCCTCCGAGTCCGCAGAGCAGCTGCCCCTGGTCACCCAGAGTTCTGCCTCCAACGGCAGAAAACCACCTGGGCCCTGTCCACCCTCACCCTGCCGATGCCCCTCCACAGCAGTGCTAACCGTGAGCATGAGTCTCAGCTCTCAGACTGTTGAGAAGAACAGCGGCGACACAGACAGCATGGCCCGACTGGACCGCACAGGGAGCCGTAATCAATGTCCCATGATAAACCGTAACGGGAAAGAGCATGAAGAAGGATGTGTGTACGTGCATTAACCGGATCACCTTGCCATACAGCAAAAATGAACACAACGCTGTAAATCAAGTAGACGACAACAAAGCTACAAACCCAGCCGCGACACAGCCTGGGTCGGGCCTCACCTGGGGTGTAGAGCAGCACATCGATGGCCTGTGGGGCGGTCTCCCCCGCCGAGGGGTTGATCTTGTGTTTCAGGGTTTCCGAGGTCATCTTCGGAACTGCCATGGGCACTGAAAGGCAGACACATGGCGGTCAGGTCCCCAGACTCCAGGACACTCTCGCACACTCTGCTTCCCTCAGGATATTAGTCCTGGGGTAGATCCAGGATTTGCCAAGATGAATCTCTCTTTAAACTGGACATAAGTAAAGCCAAGCGTTTCCAGCCAGAGGGTGACTGCCAAGGTCTCACACTGCTTGTCATCTAAACATAGCTGTCAAGCTAAATGATCTAACACTCGATTGTTAGGGATGGTCCTGTTAGGGATGGTCCAGCAGAGAGAAGACTTTGAATACTTCTCCATCAGTCGAGCCCACGAGCAGCTTCCCACCCCGGCACGTGGCGTGGCTGCGTGGGTGTCTGTGCACTACAAAACCTTTAGCAGCATCCGTGGCCTCACCTGGTCAACGCCAGTAACAACGCCCGCCCCCTACCCCGCCCCACACACACACGACAAATATCTCCAGTGACTGCCAAGTGGCTCCCTCCAGGGATGAGGTGTAAACCTCAGAAAGTTTCATTTTCAGACCTTCCATCACGAATGGTCCACAAACTATCACTGAAGCCCGGGATCGCATATCGCTGCCTCATCACGCTTCACACAAGGGCAAATGGTCCTTGAATGGGAACAGGGATCCGGGACACTGAGCTTGGGGGTCTGCCCCTGCAGTGTGGGGTCAAGGGTGAGTGTCACGTGCCGGGTCCCTCCGTGGAGACTGCGAACGCGGTGTCCAGAGTGAGAAGGCGTTCCTGCAAACTCCTGACAAAGATCAGGCTTGAGCATGGAGTGGTCTCCACAGCTCAAGTGGAGTGTGTATTTGATTTGGTTCCTAATTAAGCGCGAGAAAAAACCCTGCCGTCAACATCTGGCTCCAGGACTGTTGACAAGAGCTCCTCCAAGTCCCTCCAGCAACTGGAGCATCCTGGCTGCTCCCCAAGAGTGGGGTCCTGGGATGTGGGGGCATGGGGGGGAGGGTCCAGGATACAGGAGAGTGCTTCCTGGGAACAGGAAGCACTGGTGATGTCATGGTTAGTGACAGACACGGCAAAGAGCAAACCACCCCGAGGGGAATGAACACAAAACCAGGGCTTGTTTCCCCTTATTCTGGGGTGACATTTTAAATGGACTCTTCCTGGCTATTGACTCAAGAGGAATAAAAACATGTCCAAACAAAAATTCATACAGGAAACATTCACAGACGCACTGTTTGCAACAGGCAGGAAGCAGGAAACCTCAAACAGTAAACGGAGGGAGGGATAAACTATACTGTATTCACCCAGCAGAGTACATTCAGCCTCAAAAGGGATGAAGCAGTGACCCCTGCCACGCAGATGAACCCTGGAGCGTGACACCACATGAGGACGCCAGACACACAGGACACGCACTGCTATGAGTTCACGCATAGGAAGTGCTCAGACTAGGCAAAAGCGGGCATATCCCCAGCAACAGAAAGTAGGTCAGGGGTTGCTCAGCGGCTGAGGGGCGGCTGCTAAATGTATGGGGCTTTTTACTGGGGTGAGGAAAACGTTTGAAACCCACTGTGCTCACAGCTGCAGTGCTCTGAATACACTCAAACCAGTAAGGCGTACACTGAAAGGGAATGGTGTGTGAATTATGTCTCAATAAAACTGCTGTTTTTTAAAGTGCATACAAGCAAAACTAGTTGTCATCTGAAAAACATCCCTACAGGACTTCCCCGGTGGTACAGTAGATAGGAATGCAGGGGTCATGGGTCCAGCCCCTGGTCAGGACTATCCCACGTGTCCCAGAGCACCTAAGCCTGGGAGCCACAACTGCTGAGCCTGCACACTGCAGCTACTGAAGCCCGCACGCCCACAACCAGAGACGCCACCACAATGAGAAGCCCACACACTGCAGCGAACAGTAGTCCCTGCTCGCCACAACTAGAGAACGCCCACACTGCAACAAAGACCCAGCACAGCCAAAATAATTTTTTTAAAATCCCTACAACCTGCTCATCTGTGTTTCATGAATTAACTTCACGTGGTGGGTTTAACTGAGCACATGTGACTTCCAGCATGTAGTAAGGTTGATAGAGTAAGTGGTCCTCTATAGTCTCTGCTTCTTTATGCAAAGCATAGGACAGCTGGTTTTAGCAGATCATTTAAAAATGGACACAAGACAGAAGTAGCTAAAAATGTTGCATAAACCTATTCTTATCTTCTCCCTATTTCCTGGACTTGAAAAATCTTCTAAAAATAAAAAACTGAGCTAACCACTGACCTCTATGGCTTCCAGAATGTGAGAGCCAGATCTAAACCTACAGGCAGGAGACCAGAGAATTTCTAGGGGTGGGGAACTGACCGAATCAAGGGAAAAAAGTGAGATGGCCATCAGGGGTCTCCCCACGCCCGAGCAGTGAGGTCAGGCAGTCATGGGCAACCATGCACAGAGGTCCCAGGAGCTCTGCAGTGGGCGTGTGTCTGACCACAGAGCTCAGAGACTGCGACGGCGATTCTGTGAGCCACTCAATGGAAATCCTGTTGTCGTGTCATTGGTAATTCAGATTCAGGACCAACACCGTACGGGGTAAAGTGGACTGTTACTCAGACACTGAAATGGTGAGGTGCCTCAGCGTGTCCTGAGGAGCAGAGAGCTCCAAGGGATTGCTAAGTGAGAAAAGGAAAGACGCAGAGGGAGCTGTGGTGTTCAAAAGGGAAAAGTGCAAAAGAAAGAAGTTTGAGACATTTGGGTTGGTTCCAGCTGGTAAGACAAAAGGCAACCAGATAAAAACCTTACTTTCATTCTTCATCCTATCAAAGTAGGACAACTTGGAGGCCGCATAGATGGCTCCCGGTGACTGCAGCGTGCCGACGACTGCATCCATCAAGAGAATGTGGGTCAGCGCCTGCTGTACGTACTGGGGGTCCTGTGGGAGGCACGGTCATCTCAGCACAGTGTCTCTGAAATCATGTCCCGCTAAGACTTTGTCCCGTTACACACAGCAATACTTTTTAAAATGTGTGGTTTTCAAAGCCACCTGCAGAGTTTAAATTTGGATTTCATGTCATGTACTTATGTTCTCTTAGTTGAGACAAATACTGGTTGTCTCTACCCCTTCCCCAAAATAGTTGGAATAATCCTCCCACTCACTAGCCTATGAAATCACCCAGTCCATAAAAGCTAACAACCGAAGAACTGATGCTCTTGAACTGTGATGTTAGAGAAGACTCTTGAGAGTCCCTTGGACCGCAAGGAGATCAAACCAGTCAATCCTCAAGGAAATCAATCCTGAATATTCATTGGAAGGACTGATGCTGAAGCTGAAGTGCCAATACTTTGGTCACCTGATGTGAAGAGCCAGCTCACTGGAAAAGACCCTAATGCTGGAAAAAATTGAAGGTGGGAGAAGAGGGTAACAGAGGATGAGGTGATTGGATGGCATCATTCGATTCAATGCACATGAGTTTGAGCAAACTCCAGGAGACAGTGATGGACAGGGAAGCCTGGCTTGCTGCAGTCCATGGGGTCACAAAGAGTCAGACACAACTTAGCAACTAAACAACAAGAACTTACTACCAACAAAGCTAGTGGAGGTGATGGAATTCCAGTTGAGCTATTTCAAATCCTGAAAGATGATGCTGTGAAAGTGCTGCACTCAATATGCCAGCAAATATGGAAAACTCAGCAATGACCACAGGATTGGAAAATGTCAGTTTTCATTCCAATCCCAAAGAAAGGCAATGCCAAAGAATGCTCAAAATACTGCAAAATTGCACTCATTTCACATGCTAGCAAAGTAATGTTCAAAATTCTCCAAGCCAGGCTTCAACAGTATGTGAACCATGAACTTCCAGAGGTTCAAGCTGGATTTAGAAATGCCAGAGGAATCAGAGATCAAATTGCCAACATCTGTTGGATCATCAAAAAAGCAAGAGAGTTCCAGAAAAACATACTTTATTGACTATGCCAAAGCCTTTGACTGTGTGGATCACAACAAACTGTGGGAAATTCTTAAAGAGATGGGAAGACCAAACCACCTGACCTGCCTCTTGAGAAATCTGTATGCAGGTCAAGAAGCAACAGTTAGAACTGGACATGGAACAACAGATTGGTTCCAAATCGGGAAAGGAGTACATCAAGGTTGTATATTGTCACCCTGCTTATTTAACTTATATTCAGAGTACATCATGAGAAATGCTGGGCTAGATGAAGTACAAGCTAGAATCAAGATTGCCAGGAGAAATATCAATAACCTCAGATATGCAGATGACACCACCCTTTTGGCAGAAAGTGAAGAAGAACTAAAAAGCCTCTTGATGAAAGTGAAAGAGGAGTGTGAAAAAGTTGGCTTAAAACTCAACATTCAGAAAACTAAGATCATGGCATCTGGTCCCATCACTTCATGGCAAATAGATGGGAAAACAATGGAAATGGTGACAGACTTTTATTTTGGGGGGTTCCAAAATCACTGTAGATGGTGACTGCAGCCATGAAATTGAGACATGCTTGCTCCTTGGAAGGAAAGTCATGACCAACCTAGACAGCACATTAAAAAGCAGAGACATCACTTTGCCAACAAAGGTCCATCTAGTCAAAGGTGTGGTTTTTCCAGTGGTCATGTATGGATGTGAGAGTTGGACCATAAAGAAAGCTGAATGCCAAAGACTTGATGCTTCTGAACTATGGCGTTGGAGAAGATTCTTGAGAGTCCCTTGGACAACAAGGAGATCCAGCCAGTCCATCCTAAAGGAAATCAGTCCTGAATATTCATTGGAAGGACTGATGTTGAAGCTGAAGCTCCAATACTTTAGCCACCTGATATGAAGAACTGATTCATTTGAAAAGACCCTGATGCTAGGAAAGATTGAAGGCAGGAGGAGAAGGGGATGACAGATGATGAGATGGTTGGATGGCATCACTGACTCGATGGACATGAGTTTGAGTAAACTCCAGGAGCTGATGATGGACAGAGAAGCCTGGCGTGCTGCAGTCCCTGGGGTCGCAAAGAGTCAGACACGACTGAGCAACTGAAGTGAACTGAACTGATCCCAGGTGTCACTAAACTCCTATAAACATCCAGGTGGTAAACACTTCAGGGTCTGTAGGCTGCACAGTGTCTGTCACAATGACCAGCTCCACCGTGTATGGCAAAGGCAGCTGCAGCCCCTGTGAAGGGTGGGCCGGATGTGAGCCTGCACGACTGTCCTTAGGTGCCTGCTGGCCCACCAGCTTTGATGCGCTTTGTTGTTGTTGTTTAGTCTCTGAGTCGTGTCCAACTCTTCACAACCCCATGGACTGCAGCCCACCAGGCTCCTCTGTCCATGGAATTTTCCAGGCAAGAATACTGCAGTGGCTTACCATTTTCTTCTCCAAGGGATCTTCCTGGCCCAGGGATCGAACCCACATCTCCTGCATTGGCAGGCAGAGTTTTTACCATGGAGCCACCTGAGTTGTGCTAAATAACCAAGTGGATGAAAATCAGAGAATCCAAAAGTTACAGAACATTGGAATCTTAGGACCTAGTCCTCCCTTATTTTAAACAGAAGCCTCCTTCCATTTCCTTGACCTTAGGCTCCTCCAGGGACGGAACGTCCATCACAGAGAGCAGCTCTGCCACCACTGGACATACGTTCCTACTGAAGTTTGCCGCCCCGACCTGCGTCTCCCCGATGACCAGTGAGCTGCAGCTCTCGAGAACCTTACAAACTGCTCCCCATGTGAGTTCCCAGTTTGGACCCTTTGCTCACTCTGTTGTGGGTTTCCTGTCTCATCTCGCCTTTCTGACAAGACAGACATCGCCCTGGTGTGTCCCCATGTCTTACCTCCGCCCAGGGTACCCTTCATGACTAGGAAGTCTTAACTTGCTGTAGCCAAAGCCATCAGTCTGGCCCAAAGTAAGTGAAGCTACAAAATTCCCTAGAATTTTAAATGTAGCCCTGTGGAAGGAACCTAATACACCCCCGACCAGAACCCTAATCCCGTGAAGGGAAAGAGTTGAGAGTTGAGCTCACATCTGCCAGAGTGCAGCCCCGACGCTCCCCTCCCCGGGTGTCACCTGGAGCAGAGGAGGCGGAATGCAGAGGCCAAGCCCAGGTCCATGCATACCGCCCTGCGGGCTGGCCTCTGTGTTTGCCCCCAAGGCCTCCCCCATCACCCCAGGGCCTTGCGCCGAGTCACACGGACCACAGCATCATCAGTGCCTTCTGACGAGATGCTGCGCCCAGGCCCAGGCCCGAGTCGCCCGGGCTTTATGCTGAGCATCGCTAAGAGACCGGAGCCCCGGGTGAGAACAGACCTTGTGGTCGTCAGCCAGCTTCCTCCCGGCCCACATCTCCTTCACCATCAGGTGCCAGAGGTCACACTCCGTCTTGAGGTTAGCCTCAAAGACTTCTTTCTTGGATGCTGTTTTGATTTTTAAAGTGGGAATTCTGAGGAGCAGAAAAGTGGCCATGGTGCTTCTGACATCCTGCAGAGGCAGAGAGAGCCGTGGGTAAGTGAGATGACGGCCTGGGCGGGGCGCGGGAGTTAACCGGAGCTGTGTGTAGGGACGGGCCCGCGGCTGGCGGCCACAGGCCTGTCCTCACCTCTATGTTCCTGAAGGTGGAGACCTCCACGTAGCCCGGCCGCCCCTCCGTGAGGAGGAACAGGCGCTTCTGGGTCATGGCGATCTTGCCCACCCCACGGTTCGTCTTGACAGAGCGCGACAGCTTGTACACACACTCGTTCTTGTCCAGCTGCTCCATCACCGACAAAGGCAGGCTGACCTCCTGCGCCTCTGCTTCTGCCTCCTTCCAGCAGTTGTAGAAGTCTTTGAACGTTTCTGGGTCAATCTGTTTCTGGTGTCCTTAGTTTTATAAAGAAGAAAAGAGGTTCTTAAAGCCACAGACACCAGGACGCTGCGCATTACCCACAGGAGGCAGCAGGTGGCGCCAGCACATACGTCTACCTGGACGGGAACCACCTGGGAAAGAGGCCCTTCTGACCCAGCTTCCCCAGGTGTGCAGGGGGGCACGTGATCTGGGTTGAGTCCATCTGTCCTCTCCAGTCCCTCCCTACGCTGGCAGTCACAGTGGCTCTCAGGGCACCAGGTGGGGACCCTGGGACAAGGATGAAGTCCTGTGCCATCTCTGGAACTGGTGGGCAGCCATCCTGGGGCCAGTCCAAGGGTGTAGCTACCAGTAACAGATCCTCGGACACTGCCACAGCACTGCATCAAGCCTTACTCTTTGGTTACGTGAACAAATACATCATTATTTGTACGCATGATGATCTTAATTGATTCAGTAACCTTCCCAAATGGCCAGGATTCAGGGGCTCTAGAGCTGGAGAGAGACCCAAACCCGAAGGCCAGCTTCACTGTTCTTCAGCAGTGTGACCACAGGCAAGATACGAAGCGGGCCTGCCTCCCTATCTGTAACACGGAGCGGGGACCGCCCCCAACTCCCACTCAGCTGCTCATCCTAATCCTGACGCTTCCCCACGTCTGGCTCCTGTGGCTCCATCTGCGTCATGGATCCGTCTGCCCTCCATCCTCAGTGGGCCCCTCACACCCCCAAGCAAGCCTGCTTCACTTCACACCCAGGGTGAGTCTCCCCGTGTTCATGAGGCCGACTCCTCCAAGGCCAGGCCCCTCCTCCGGCCACACTCCAGCCTCCCAGCACAGTGACGTGTGGTGACATGCCTCTGTACACGCTGGTCTGCAGTGCTCAGACCAGAAAACTCCTACCCATCCTTCAAAACCCAGATAGAGGGCCCACAGGTAGCCTTCCCGGACAAGGTGGTCATCCTGGACACCCCTGAGCTGGCATGCTCTGCCCTCATGGCATCTAATAATACTTCCTGTGCTTCACCCTCCACACAGGCCCAGCCACCATGGGATGCTCGGTCACAGGGAGACTGAGGCCTGGAAGGAAAAGCCCTGCCGGCTGGTGGGCAGGTGCCAGGCAGACGGCCCCGCCGACCCTGTGATGCTCTGTGTGTTTGTGGGTCTGTGTTACCCGCTGGGTGCCTGCTCCAAATGCAGGAACCTTCCCGTCCCAGCTGTGGGTCCCCCTGTGGGAGGGAGGGGTCATCACACTGTGAGCAGGTCCCCCAGGACCGATGTCACCAAGCTTCCCCAGACCCTCCACCTCTCTCGGCCAGCTGCTGGGTCCGTCAGCAGGTAAAGCCCCACCCATGAGGCTTTCTGGAAGGCAAAGGTGGCTCAGACGGTGAAGAATCCACCTGCAGTGTAGGAGACCCAGGTTTGATCCCTGGATCAGGAAGATCCCCTGCAGGAGGGCATGGCAACCCACTCTAGTATTCTGGCCTGAAGAATCCCATGGACAGAGGAGCCTGGCGGGCTACAGTCCACGCGGTCACAAAGAGTCAGACACGACCGAGTGACTCACAGACACATGAGGTTCTCCCTGGCCGGACCAACCTGCCGTCCAGGGCGCCCCCAGCCGCGGGGATCCTCCTACCTACAGTCAGCGCCTCGAACAGCCGGTGTATGACGCCAGCGTCCTTCACGATGCCTGACTCCTGCACCCTCTTCACGAAGTCATCCAGCTGCATGTGCTTCTTGGGCAGCTCGAAGTTCTTGACACGGTCGTCGGCCTTGGGGGTGTCCTCGGGCCTGTCCATGACCTCACTGATGAGCCGGCGCAGCTCGGGCGTGCGCTCAGCCTGTGTGCGCTCGGGCGCCGACAGGGACTCCACGGTCGTCTGGACGAGGTCAGCAGGGAAGACGCGCGTGTCGGTCTTGTACAGGCTCTGGAAGTCCAGCAGGGCACCCAGCAGGTGGCCCTGCATCAGCTGCACCAGCCCCCGGAGGTAGAAGTACCTGGCCAGCAGCACCGAGTTCTCGGGGGCCAGCGAGCCCATTGCCTTGCTCAGCTGGGCCACGCAGTCTGCGTAGAACGCCTGCACGCACTGGGCCACCAGCGGGAAGTGGATTTCCGGGATCTTGAAGGTGTGCGTCGGCTTAGGGGGCACGTCCAGAACTGGGGGTGAAGGGGAAGTGAGGGGTAAGCGCAGACCTTAGAGGCAGACACGCGTTCCCACCCCAGCACTCTGCTGTTTCTGGGCCCTGGGTACAGCACGGAACAGGAGCCGTATACATCTTCCAGGAAGCTCCACGTACCCCACGCTGAAGGGGGCCCCCAGCGGCCTCCCATGGCCCTCTGAGAGTACGGCATTATTTTATTTGCTAAAACTGCTGATGGCTAAATTGAAACACGTGATGCTGAGACTGGAGGATTAAGCAGGTAACCTAGGCTGAGACGTACCTGCCAGGCAGGCAAGCCCTGTTAAACAGCCGTTTCTTTTACCTCAGCAGCAGCTCTGGGCACAGGTATTGTTGCCACACTCATCTCACAGGTGTGGGGGCTGCGGCTTCCACTGGTCCCCGGCACACAGCTGCCGCATGTCACACATAACCAGCTGTGTGTCACACCAGTGCCTTCCACAACCTCACCCCCAAGGCTCCCAGGCAGCGCCAGTGGACAAGGCCAGGCCGCAGGAAGGAGCGCGCCCCAAGGAGGTTGGGCCTCAGTAACAAAGCTGGAGGATGGCGGAGGAGCCCAGGGCAGGGGCAGAGGGAGTGGAACACCTTCCTGCAGTGAGCGGGCCCAGTGCAGAGTGCAAGGCCCCACAGTGTTCTAATGAGAGGGCATGCAGGCCCAGAGAGGCGGAGCAACTGCCCAGGGTCACACAGCCGGCAGGCAGCTGCTCCGGAACTCAGACCCACCAGGGGCCTCCAGAGGGTTGCTCGTTTGAACACACAGCCCCTCCCGGCCTCGAGGGCACGCTCTTCCCTCAGCCTCTGGCTCTCGGGCCAACGCACAGGAGACCCGGCTGGTACCTGGTGCTCCACCCACAGCACCATCTCCCCACCGCTTCTCCATCCACGGAGGACGGGTGGAGACCCCCCCCCGGGGGCTGCAAGGAGAAGCCCCAAGCACCCACAAGTGGCATCACACGTGACCGGCTTCGCTGTGGCTCACGTGGGAAAAACACATGGGCTCACACACGTCCAAATGGGCTTTATAGCAACTCACCAGCGAGGGGACCCCAAGCAGACACTCTGCACACAGGTGGTAACGCAGCCGCTGCCTCCCACAGCACGCTGCCCCCCCTGTGTCCACCTCCCGAGACCATAGCGCTGCTCCCCACCCCCATGGCACAGCTATGCCCATCACCACCCCTGACCGTGTCACGACACTGAACACCGCAACTAACCCCCCACTAGTGTTACGCATTTCTATCGTCTGCCTTCATCCCCGTCCATGGGGGCGGGGGCACTGGCTTCCTGTGTACCCCAACACCTAGGAAGGGCCCAAGAATCGCTGGAGGCTTAATAGTCACTGAACCTCATTAGTGATACATGTAAACATGTGTCTCCTAAGTACATGTGCATATACACGCATATACCCACACATGTATGACAGACATGAAAATCGTGAATAGTTGTGGTCTTCAGCAGTTGGGAACCAAGTGATGGAAAATACAGACAAGAGATCATTTTCTATAATGAACATAGTTTGCAAAATAAATATTCTAAAAATATTTCAAATAATCAAACTACTAGAACTACCACCCCCCACCCCCCCCAAAAAAGGCCCATTCCCTTCTCCTGGAATGAGCTCTGACTTCTTTCAGCAATTGGCAGTGTTAGAATCACGTGACTAGGAAAAGCCACGGAAGGGGCGTGGCTGGCCCACCTGCGCGGCTGCTCCCACACTCCATGGTCTGCATCTTCCGAAGCGATGAGTTCCGGGGCGGCAGCTCGGGCACTGTGATGTCCTGCAGGTTGGGCATGCTGACCACCATGCGCCGGTGCGCTGCGTGCGGGGCTGAGGACTTCCGGCTGGCCATCTTCTCGATTGTGGGTCTCCTCGGACTCAGGAGCATCCCGTTTATCCTGGGTGGAAAATCCCAACATCTTACACGTACGATAACGATTCAACAGGTAACTGGGCATTTTCCCAAGTGTGGCGCCCAGTGTCCAGTATCCCCGTGCCGAGGGAGAAATGGCCGGAGCTTGCCTGGCTCTCCCGCGTGTAGTGAAGGCTGAGTGCAGCCCACACCCCCCAGGGGAGGTCATGACACACAGGATAAACGAGGGCATTGCTGACGGTGATGCATGTTTGAGGAGTTCAGGAAAAGCAACACAGAGGAGGCAGGAAACAGCGAGGATGTAGGGAGAGCAAGAGAAGGAAGACGGGGAGAGAACAGCATGAACGCAGACCCAGAGCTGCACTGCAGGCACTTCAGTGTCCCCCCAGCCCCAGGAAACAGCTGCACGGGAGGAGCCGGGCCTGCTAGCCAGCTCATGCACATCTAAATGTGAGACTCCTCCGATCTGATTTATCATTCATCTGTCCAGAGATAACTGGTGCTTGAGCATCCAAGCCCCCAGAGAGCAGCGCATCCTTCAGAACCTAACATGCACACCTGTCCTCCTCAGACTGCGTGTGGAGGTCCATCTGGGCAAAGGCGTCCATCCTTCTGCTGAGCCGGGCCTTGAGGAAGGCGTGAAACATGTATGTATCCAGGACCTGGAAGAGATGCCGAGGGCGGTCACTGCACCTGATCCCCTGTCCTGAGCCGCCAGGACCCCTGCAGCCGCTGCACGAGGGCCCTTCCCCGGCCCACCACGGCCTCTCACCAGCTCCTCTAGACCCAAGTTCCCAACACAGGCAGCGTTCTTAGCTCATCAGAATCTAAACTAAGATCTTCCTCAATCCCTCACCAGCCAACCTCAAAGAATCAGGCACTCTTTACATTTGAAAAGTCACAAAAAATCAAAAGCCCAAATCACCCTGCCCCCCAGGACAACAGCAGCTGAGTCATTAATTCTGGGATCTCCTGGGGACGGTGGCCTCCCCCATACGCCCACCTCACAGCCAGCCCACCCATCCACAGAGTCCGGCAGAACAACCTCCAAGTAAGCTCCGGGGGAGAGGGGGCGTGGCCCAGCCCAGGGAAGGAGGCGGCGGTGGGAAGGGCGTGGAACTGTGCAGGCTGATGGGAGCGTCCAGACCCAGGCTGATGGGAGCGTCCAGACCCAGGCTGATGGGAGCGTCCAGACCCAGGCTGAAGAAGGGGCCACCGGCACGGGCCTTGGGCACAGCTCAGCACACTCTACACTTAAGAGGGCACACTGAGTCACATGTGCATCACTCTAAAAAGCCAAGTGAGAAGAGAGGAGCTGGGCAAAGGGTCAGCAGGACCCACGCTCAAACAAACTTCTAGGAAAGCTAGAACACAGAATAAAGTATTAACAGATGCTGGAAGCCCTGGATGTGAAAAGCATTTTAAGCAGAGAAAAGTGCAAAGGATGGAATATACACACGCACACAAACCCCATACGCCTCTCACCTGCTTATAAAACTGCTGGTCCCCTGGAGCTCTTGTTTTGAGAAACTCTTCACTATTGAACACTCTGTGTTCATAATTCAAGTGATTCTTCACTTCCCTGATGAAGAAAGACAATCTAAGTGTTGAAATGTTTTTAAACACATGAAAAACATATTGCTGTTAGCAGAAAACTGATGGCAAGAAATACACAGTTTGAAAAGCCCTGTCTACACAAGGATTATTCTGAGCCCCGAGGGTTTGGGTGTAACCTGTGGTCAGGCTGTCCTGTCACTTCAATATAGCTTTCCTCCAACTGGAATGAAGCTCTGGGAGGCGGGCAGCAGGGAAGGGGGTCTGTCTTGAGCTCCTTAGCTCCTTATTCAAATGAAGAAGATGCAATCGCCCGTAATTGTTCATACTAATAAGTCTGAGCTCAGGGCGGTGACAGAGGAAGGGCAGACAGACGGGGTATTAGCCCAGCTTGGCTGCCAGCTGGACCCCTACCGGCTACCTCCAAATCTGCATTCCACGGGGACTTGGCCACACGACACCCCAGATCTCATGTGATAACTACCAACAGAATCAATAACCGTACAGGACATATTCAGGACATAGCATGTTCAATGTTTTCCCTCTCCTGTGAGGAGAGACATGACTTCACCTAGGGGAAATCAACTTTTAGAATCATACTGTCTGCTTTTTAATGAACTAAACTCATCAAGCTTGCATGCTTATGCTCAATTGTGTCCAACTCTCTGTGACCCCATGACCTATAGCCCACCAGGCTCCTCTGTCCACGGGGATTCTCCAGGCAAGAAAACTGGAGTGGGTTGCTGTTTCCTACTCCAAGGGATCTTCCCGACCCAGGGATCAAACCGTTATGTGTCTCTTACGTCTCCTGCATTGCAGGCAGGTTCTTTACCACTAGTGCCACCTGGGAAATCATTCGTAAAAGATTCCATATTAAAAGAACAAAAGGAAAACAACATTTCTACGACCACACAAATTATAGTGCCTTAAGCAGAGAGCTAATGCAACTCATCTATAATGTAACATCCCATTTTTCCCTAATAGATTATTTGCTTTATGTAAGGAAAGACAGCTAAAAAATACAACCATTAAAAGGTTGAATCACACAGTGTCGTCAAGTCGGCCAGCTCTGGTCTAAACCCTTCCCAGGCTGGGTCCGTCCAGATCAGAAGAGGACCTGGAGTTGCCACCTTCCCTGCCACACACGACCCGAGGGTGGGAGGTGAAGCAGCGGGGTGAGGCAGGGGAGAGAGGCCTCAAGACAAAGTGCAGAAGAGAGAGTTGGAAGGAAAAAAAGGCTTGAAGGCTTTCCTACCAATAACTCTGCCACAGAGTTAACACGAATGTCGGCATGGATCTATTGGACGCTCCTTAAAGGACTGCACATTTAGGCCAGAACAACCACCGCACCCCGCACTACATCCCGATGCAGCAAACGCACTGCACTGTCCGCTTGCCTGACTGGGCCCAAGAGCTGGCTCCCAACAACACACAACAGACCCCGACGCTGAAGGTGACGGCAACGGGGAGAAAGAAGAAAAGCTCCTCACGGGGCCAGTCCTGAGTGCTAACCAGCCTGGGCTCTCCTTTGGATGGGCTGCAATCCCGAAACAATCCATCTGTCCCTTGACCCAGGGCTGACCGCCCAAAGTGGTCCTCTGCAGGAGAAAGGAGGGGGTGGGAAGGCCCCGGCAGGGCCGACACACTCCCAGGGATCCTCCTGGGTGCAGGGGCCTCTCCCATGTCAGTCCTGGATTTCGGTCCCCAAGCTCTGAGGCCGCGGCCGGCGTGGAACTGGGAGCGGGCTGGGGACCCGGTGACGAGCCTGGAGGGACCTGAAATACCTGAAGATGCTGACAAGCAGCTGCAGGGTCATCTGTTGGATCTGGCAGTTGAGCTGCTGCTGCCAGGCCCGCCTGGAGGCCCGGCCCTCGTTCACATCCGTGCTGGTGCAGAGGTGAGCCAGGTCCAGCTCGTGGTGCAGCTGAAGGCTCTGGACCCTGGAAAGGAACAGAGGGACAGTGACCACAGCTCAGGCCACAGCACATGACCACTGCTCATGGGCAGGAGAGAGAATCCTCCAGGGAGAGCTAAACTGACCTTCTTAGGATGCTCAGAACACCTATCAATACCGGGGCAGCGGGTGGAGAGGGGGTGTCATTAAAAACACATTCCGGTTGGGAGTCTATTCACGTCCCAACACAAACAGCTCACTAGTGCAGAACCCACAAAGGCCTTGTTTTTGGACCACAGGTGTTTTTGTGCAAGCTGAGTCATCCCATCCCCCTTTTCAACCCCCCCTCTTCCACAACGGCCAAAGGGTTTCCAGCGGGTCTGGGCAGGAAGGCCCTGCCCCGGCAGGTGCAGGTGCTTGAGGTATGGCCACTCGTCGGGGGGTTCTTGGGGACGGGGGCTCCCAGAGGTCTTCATCACACAGGACCCCCGCCTCCCCAGCATCACCCACGGCTGCACTTTTAGACGTGACTTTGCACACCAAGGAGAGAGTCGGAGGCTTTAAATATGCAAATAAACCCACATGACACATGCCTAGAGATCCAGCGGGGCAGGGGGACACAGCAAACACACTCTGCTCAAGGTGAGGAAGACAGCATGGCAGAGGGTGGCCTTCCCACCAAATACGGTGGGTGGGTGCTCACGCACCCCTGTCCCCAAGAGGAGACCCATGGCCATGGTTCGGATCACAGTCCCAGGGCCCTTCACAGACATGCCACCAGCCATGCACAGGTTAGTTCATGTTTATAAACAGCCCCTCATGGTGAGCCTGACATGCCACATCCCACCTCTGGGGGTCTGACCAAGCAAGAACCCTGGGAATGTTCTAGAATTCTCACAGTAACACGTGGGCAGAGGCGAGATCTCATCTTATTGGATATGCTCCATCCAAGCAAACACTTGAGAAGCTTCGCCAAATGCTGGCCAACATCAGTCCTCAAAAATCGGGGAATGCGGACTCTGCTTATCAGAAAGTGCCCAGACGGTAAGGAATGTGGGTTCCGCCTTCTGAGTTCACACAGGGCGACACTCCAGCAGGGCCCCTGGCTGGGCCCCGTGAGCATGACCCACCAGCCACGCAGGCCTCTACGCCCACCACGCAGGCTTTGGGCGCTGTAAAATTGTTTACGATGGAAGGACCATTGATAAAGGTGGCACGCCCATCGACTCTAGAAACCATCCAGGGAGAGGGAATAATCAACACCAAGAAGTGACAGGCTGAACTGTTTGTTCCCCAAATTCCCATGTCGGAGTCCTGACCCCCAATACCTCACAGTGTGACTGTGTTTGGAGTTGGGGCCTTCAAAGAGGCAATTAAGTTAAAATGAGGTCATGAGGCTGCACCTACTCCAATATGATGGTGTCCTTGTAAGAGATTAGAACACAACACCCACAGGGGCACGACCACGTGAGGACACAGGGAGGAACCAGCCCTATTGGCATCTTGACCTTGAACTTCCAGCCTCTAGGACTGGGAGGCAGTAGATGTCGGTTGCTTAGGAGGTGTTTGTTATAGCAGCCTGCCCTGACTGCTAAGAGGAACAGGTGAGAACAGCCACGCCAGGGAGCCAACAGAGGACCACCCGCTCCTTCCCCTGCTCTCAGGCCTCGGCCTCTGTCTGGCCTCCCAACAGCAGACAAGATAAAGGGGGACAGTTGGCACGGATGGGAGACGGCCAGCAGCAGCTGCTACGCTCACCCCCACCCCTTGCCCTGCAAGAGGCCCCATGAGTTCCACACCGGGCCTGCCTGGGGTCCACACCTGGACTGGAAGACTAAAAGCAGGATCTCTCCCACCACCACCTTGTTAGGTTCCAAAGAGGGGACCGTCCCTTTGTAGGACCCCTGAGGGGACCCAGCTCTGCCGCCGCCCACCCCGGATGCACCTTCATCCTGGCGTAAGTATGACCATACCTCCTCTCTCTTGCCCCCGAAGACGCTCGTGGGGCCGCCCCTCACTGCCACGCCTCTCCCACCACGACAGAGGCCGTGGGACCTGCAAGCCTCACCGGTTATCACCTGCCCTCTTTGGGAAAAGCATGTCAGGCCTGAGCTTGGCCAGTAAAGTTTAGTCATAGGGATGGCCACGACACAGTTATGGAAAAATAACAGCGCAGAGAGAGAGCTCTGTGGGGGGGAGGGGCGGGGGCGAAAGGGGAAGACAGCTGCCCGCCCAGGGAAGGGTGGGAGGCCACGGTCATCAGGGTGCCCCAGCTGACAGTGCCACAGGACGAGGCTACGTCTGCTTGCTCAGTACACACATACCCTGCCCGATGCACTGGACACATATCTGATGAGTGAATGGGTGAAGGAATGAATGAAGGAGAAAGGACTTCAGAAATCATTGGGAGGGGTTGGGAGGTGTCCCGGGGGTGTGACTGTCCCCTGGTCCGGGGGCCACTTAGTATTTAGACAGGATCAGCATATTATATTCAAGCATTCACAAATTATTTGCAATCTATTAAATACATTTTTCAAAACAAGTAGAAGTGTTAGTCGCTCGGTCATGTCTGACTCTTTGCAACCCCTTGGACTGTAGCCCGCCAAGTTCCTCTGCCCATGAAATTCTCCAGGCAAGAATACTGGAGTAAGAAGTCATTCCCTTCTCCAGGGGATCTTTCCAACCCAGGGATGGAACCTAAGTCTTGAGCATTGCAGGCGAATTCTTTTTTTTTTGGGGTAGGCAGATTCTTTACTGTCTGAGACACCAGGGAAGCCCCATTAAATATATAAACCGTCTCTTAATATAAAATTGGAAAAGATACTCAGATGTGGCAAGTACAAACCTGAGCAAGACTTTCCCAAACACACATGATCTCTCTCCTTACCTCTGAATAAACGTCTGTGCAGCCAGGAAAGGGATGTCAGGAACATCAACCTCCTCATCGTTAGAGTAGGTGATGTTCCCATTGTCGATGTTTATCAAAATTAAACCATCAGCTTCCTATAAAATAAGTTTGTAAAGATCAAAGTAGGAATCTGAATTTGTATACATCTTTGAAAACACAAAGCTACATTTTGCATTCACTAAGATCAAGTCATCATTAATTAAATTATTGTATATTTAATATGCACACAAAGCCTTATATTGTCTGCTCCAAAATGCAATGCATACCATGAATTAGGTTAATAAGCTAAAGTGATTAAACACCCTGAGTCAAGATTCCAACACACGTGGTCAGGCCTCCCCCCGCCCTGGTACAAACACTCCGTGGTCACTTCAGGGAGCCTGGAGAGGACATTCCAGAGCTCCAGCCAGAGCACCCTGACATTCGACACTCAGGGTGCCCGCTAGGCTGCCCAGCTAGCTCCCCACCCCCAAGGACCAGAACACAGGTGTGCCCTGGGCTCAGGGAGCCAACACACTCAAGCATTCTTGAGACGTGTGTATGGCATACTTGTGAAGTCTTATCTGTGACAGAACACACAAACACTGAGTCACACACCTGAGTTCTGCACTTCAACTGTCCCAGGAACACGACGCCAAACTGGCCCTGGCTTTCCTGGCGGGCCGGGCTCTCAGTGAGTGCTCCATGTCACATGGAGTATTACAAACACGTGCCCCAGCACAGAGAACTACACCGGAGGGGACAGGCATCCTCAGCGCGTGAGTGCCCAGCTTTCACAAGGACCCCGTCCACATGCCCAGCACCATCAAGAAAACATCCAAACCCCAAAGGTGTTCAGCCAAGACCTGCTGCCTTGCCCGGACATCTCCCAGAGCAGGTAGCCGCTAGGAGGACTTCCTTCACGACTGTGGACCGGAGTCAAGCGCCTGTGCCTCGTGTCCCTCCTGAAGGGACCAAATGAAGGCAGTTTTTCCCCTGATGACTAAAAAAAGAAACCCAGCTTTAACTCCAGAGCATGCCTATTTTTTCCTCATTTCCAAGAGTGACGTTTTTCCGTTCCTTCCAGGAGGTCTGAATGGCCTTTTCCCAAAGCGTGTTTGTCCCCTGGTGAGTGAGTCAGCGAGTCTGCCAAGAACACAGACATGCCGGCTCCGCCACAAGGAGGGGCACCGGCTCAGCCGGGCTGTGCTGCAAACGCCAGGGAAAAACCAGACGACCCCCGAGGACAGAGCGGGCCACGAGGCAACCTTCCACTCCTCTCGGGTTCTGCGCACACTGAGAAATTTTTGAAATAACAAACACAACACTGTAAAATCAACTACATGTTAATTACAATGAAAATGAAAAAGTTACATGAGAGCCCACCCTGGGCCAACTACCAATAAGCACAAGAAAAAGACCTCCACGATGCCAGTCATCCAAACCGGCCAGCAAGAGAGCTGAAAGCAGAAAGACCAGTGACACGTGCTGGGAGGAGGCAGGAGCCCAGAGCCCCCCTGGTGCTGGAGGACGGTGAGCCGGGTAGCTGCGGAGGGCAGCAGCCTGGACATCTCGCCAATGGTTAATCACAATACTAGCACTGGACCCGGCAATTTCTCCCCCAGGCGTGTACCAAGGTGTGTACCGAGGTAAATAAATGAACACATGTCCACACAGAGACCTGTACGTGAGTGCTCACAGCTTCCGTTCACAACAGTCAAAACACAGAAACAACCGCAAACGTCCTCAACTCATGAATGGATAAACAACTGTGGTCTCTTCATTCAGGGCAACCCTACTGGGCAATAAAAATAAAGTGCTGCTACACGGATGAACCTCAAAAACACATTACTAGGTGAAAGAAGCCAGTTATAAAAGACCACGCACTGAACGATTCCATTTATGTAAAATTCCCGTATACAGAACCGGCAGATCCACAGAGCTGGCAGGGTGGCCAGGGCCTGGGGGGTGTGGTGGAGGTGGAGTGACTGTTAACACAGGCGGGGTTTCTCTGTGGGCTGACCAAGATGTCTAAAATTAGGCAGCACAGCTCCACCAAGTTACTAAAAGCCATTGACTTGTACGTTTTAGTCCAGGAAACTCTGTGGTGTATAAATGGTATCTGAAAAAAAAGCTGTTTTAAGAAAACCCAATCTGCTCTTGCTCCTGGCGATGTCCACGGCCTGAACTCCCCTTCGAAATGCACCCTGTCAGCACAGCAGCAAAAAGAGCTGCCCATATGAAGCACCTACTGTGTGCTCCGACACTGCCTGATGCTGCAGTGTCCTGCAGTGTCCTGTCAGGACTCAGGTCTGACCCCGAGCAAGTAAGTGGCCACGGGATTCGGCAAGGCCCACAGACCCCCTTGGACACCAAGCATGCACCTGCATTCGTCTAGGATGTAGGTTCATGGTACTAATGAACAGCAGAGGCGTAATCAATAAAAGTGAAAATGGAAAATACAGAACAATATCATGGTGGCTCCCGTCCACCAAGCCCAGTCCTCTGCCAGGAGGGACAGGGGACATCCCTGAGCCAGAACCCTGCCAGGAGGGACAGGGGACATCCCTAAGCCAGAACCCTGCCAGGAGGGACGGGGGACATCCCTGAGCCAGAACCCTGCCAGGAGGGACGGGGGACATCCCTGAGCCAGAAACCCGGCCAGGAGGCCATGGCTGTGCCCACTTCACAGATGAGGAGACTGAGGCTTAGCAGAGGCCAGTAAGCCACTCAGGGTTACAGAACTAGTACGCAGCAGAGGTGACACTCAAAATCAGCTCCCTCAACTCCAACGCCTGCCCTCGCCTCCCTGAAAACCTGAGAAGTGGTATCAGGTGTGACGCTCGGAGTGGGCCCTGAGCACACCCTGAGGACAAGGAGGGCGTGCTGGTGCCCTGTGGGGAGCCGCCCCAGTCCTCTGTGCCCGCCCTCGCCGCCCAGCAGCTCCCCAGGCATCCTCCCAAAGTGCCCGCGTGACTCAGCGCCCTGAACCCAGCAGTGGGTGCTCACCTTGCTGACCTCCTCAAAGTGGTCGAGATGGCAGCCCATGAGGAAGGAGGTGGGCGCCATGAGGAAGTCCAGCATCTGCCCAGACAGGATGGGCACGAAGGTGTGCTGCCACTGCAGGGGGTGCAGGTAGGCCATGAAGCACTCGGCCACGAGCGTCAGCAGAGCCCAGCTGGACGAGAAGAACACGACGCGCTGCTCCGTCAGGAGGCAGGCAAGGATCTGGGGGACAGGCGGGGACAGCACAAGCCTGAAGCATCGTGAGGGTGCCGCCCAGCGAGGCCGGATGCAGCGCACCTCTCCTCCGGCTCCCCCGGTCCGTCTGCCAGAACCCAGGCCACCCTCACCCCAACAGTGTACTCTGCGGTGAAAGCTGGTTTTAAGCGAAAAAGGAAGACCCTCTCTTTGACGTTCCGTTAAGTCAGTCAGCGTGAGACGCTCACAGGTGTGGAGGGACGCGTACCTGTAGCACCTTCTCAGGTCTGAAGCACAGCAGGGGCAGGTGAAGGTCCAGGTCGATGAGGGGGCTCTCGGGGTCCGCTCTCGAGGGAAACACGATCTGTAGTGGTTTCATGTTAAATATCTGCAACAACCAATTTCCATCATTGGCTCAGGGAGCTGCTTCCAGCAGAGGCTGAAAGGCACTGAAATTCACCGTTTGGGCTCAGAAAGCATCTGAGTTAGCACACACTTTCAAAGACTCATGTTGTCACCTTCAATGTCACAGAAATAAAACCATCCAGAGATAAACAGAACTCCCAGGAATGTTTCATGACAAATTGAGGACCTAATGTCTTTTGGGAATACCAGACCACCTGACCTGCCTCCTGAGAAACCTGTATGCCGGTCAAGAAGCAACAGTTACTGGACATGGAACAACAGACTGGTTCCAAATAGGAAAGGAGTATGTCAAGGCTGTATATTGTCACCCTGCTTATTTAACTTATATGCAGAGTACATCTTGAGAAATGTTGGACTGGATGAAGCACAAGCTGGAATCAAGATTTCCGGGAGAAATATCAATAACCTCAGATATGCAGATGACACCACCCTTATGGCAGAGAGTGAAGAACTAAAGTGTTGGGACCAGCCCAACAACGAACCGACCTGAGGGAGCAGTGCTGCAGAAGAATAAGGAAAAATAAGACTCAGAAATAAGGTGGCGATCAGGGGGCTGATGCCACTCGCAGGCAAAAGCCCAGATCCTAATACCTGCATGCTTTTTATTGCTAACATCTACTTCCTTGTAAGTGCTCTAGAGATATCTGTTTTTTACAGTTTCATATCGGGGATAAAGATATACAATGCACAGTCCTCAATGTCAAACCTTCAGGCCTTTCATCATTCTGTTTAGCCCTTCAGCTAGTGACGACCTTTCTCAGCAACTCCCTCAAGGCTCTGGTCAGGAAAAGAGTCACTAATGGTTTTCCATCAGTCACATCAGTACTTCAACATCTTGTTTTCAAGATGTTTTTCTACAATGTACTTTTTATTGCTCCCAGCCCTTCGCTTGGGGACTATGAGAAAGTTGTTCTTTTTCTTCAAAGAAGCCCTCTTAATTATAGTACAGGCCTATGCATAGCATATTCCCTACACTAAAGAGCCTCTTGATGAAAGTGAAAGAGGAGAGTGAAAAAGTTGTCTTAAAACTCAACATTCAGAATAGTTTTCATTCATGGAATCCGGTCCCATCACTTCATGGCAAATAGATGGGGAAACAGTGCAAACAGCGTCAGACTTTATTGTTTGGAGCTCCAAAATCACTGCAGATGGTGACTGCAGCCATGAAATTGAGAGACGCTTGCTCTTTGGAAGAAAATCAATGACCAACCTAGACAGCATATTAAAAAGAAAAGACATTATTTTGCCAACAAAGGTCTATCTAGTCAAAGCTGTGGTTTTTCCAATAGTCATCTATGGGTGTGAGAGTTGGACTATAAAGAAAGCTGAGCACCAAAGAATTGATGCTTTTGAACTATGGTGTTGGAGAAGACTCTTGAGAGTCCCTTGGACTACAGGGAGATCCAACTAGTCCATTTTAAAGGAGATCAGTCCTGAATATTCATTGGAAGGACTGATGCTGAAGCTGAAAGTCCAATACTTTGGCCACCTGATGTGAAGAACTAACTCATTTGAAAAGACCCTGTTGCTGGGAAAGATTGAAGGCGGGAAGAGAAGGGGACGACAGAGGATGAGATGGTTGGATGGCATCACCAACTCAATGGACATGAGTTTGAGGAAGCTCTGGAGTTGGTGATGGACAGGGAGGTCTGGCGTGCTGCAGTCCACGGGGTCCAAAGAGTCAGACACGACTGAGCGACTGAACTGCATGGCTTTTTCAGCCAGACTCCCTTAAACTCTCTAATTAAACAGCAAATTGTTCATTGACAAAACAAAGCTAAACTGCCTCCCAAATATCCAGTTTGATTAGCACAAATTCTTGATCAAGCATGTTCAAACCAATCTTAACCAGTATACATTATTCGTGGTTACTACTTACTATGTATTTGCCTATAATTTCAATTTATCAGTCAAAGTTCCTTACTAGTGTGCTAAGTCGCTTCAGTCATGTCTGACTCTTTGTGACCCCATGAACTGTAGCCCACCAGGCTCTTCTGTCCATGGGATTCCCCAGGTAAGAATACTAGAGTGAGTTGCCAAGCTCTCCTCCAGGGGGTCTTCCCAACCCAGGGATTCAACCTGAGTGTCCCGTGGCTCCTGCACCGCAGGTGGGTTCTTTACCCCGAGCCACCGGGGACACCCCAAAGCTCCTTAAAGATATGGAATTCGAAAAAATTTTAAGGACACTTTATTTTTCTAAATGATATTATTTTAAAAAGACACTTCAAATTCAAATCCCACATTCACAAGATGCTTATTAAGTGTTAAAGGCTGAAGCAGAAGGCAGACGTGAAGGAGGAAGACGGGGTCCCTCTGAAGAGGTGGAGAGCTGGGAAGAGCAGGGTTATAAGCCTGCCCTGGCCTCAGGCACACAGGCGCACTCAGCAAGGCAGATGGGGTGTCTGACACTGATTTGCAGGGGGTTCTGGAAAACACTGCTTAATCAGCTCCTGCATCAGATGAAACTGACCTCAGGTTTCTTCAGAACAGTCAACAGCCACAATTCTGCAACACGCATTACGATAGACATGACCACCACACCAACCGGGGCCCCACAGCTAATTAGACTTGTTAGTGGAGCAGCTCAGGGACAGGTCTGATCCAGATGTAGCCCGTGACAAACCACGAGCCCCGGCAGGCAGGCCCTGACTCAGCACTGCTGGTGATGCCGGAACATCGTTTCGTTCACTGACTGAACGGTGCTCTGCGGGGGGCAGCGGCTAAGTGCTGGAAATGCAGCTCTGAGCGCAGCCTCTGTGCTGCCGTGGCCCAGAGTCCGAGGGAGGAACCGGACGTTCCTCCAGGCACACTCAAGCCCACACTGCCGCTGCGCTGAGCTCCGCAGGAGAGCGAGAGGCCCAGCTGGACAGCGTGAGAGGGGCTGCTCCGGAGACCCGGCACCTGAGCCAGGCCTCAGACAGTGGCAGGAGTTGGAGGAGGACCAGCACGTGCAATGGTCCTGTGCAAGGGACGACAGTGGCCCAGTGCGGCTGGACGACAGTGAGCCAGGACTGCGTGGGGCGGACGGAGCCGGATGGTGATGCGGGGGAGGCAGGTCTGGGTGGAGGGACCAGGGAGAAGCCAGTGAGGGGTCTTAAGTCCAAAAGGAAAGTATAGAGTTTAAGGATCTCTCTATCCACTGTGCAAAGACAGACTGAATGCAAGGTCAAGACTGGAAGTGGAGGGCTTCGCCGGTGGTTCAGTGGTTAAGAATCCACTGTCAATGGGACATGGGTTCAGTCCCTGGTCTAAGAAGATTCCATATGCCACGGGGCAACTAAAACCCATGTATCACAACTGCCAAGCCTGTGCTCTGGAGCCCAGAAGCCACAACTACCGAGCCTGAGCGCCATGAGCCCACGCTCCACAACGAGAGAAGGCCGTGCACTGCGGCTCTGCTGACCGCAACTGAAGCCCGCTTGCAGCAACGGAGACCCAGCACAACCAAAAACAGATACGTACATAAATAAAAACTTAAAAAACGAATGGAAGTGGACAGACCAGTGGTTCCCTAAGTCATGCAGGTGGGAGAAGCTGGTGGCCCAGAGCCGTGGTGACAGTGGAAGCAGGGGAACTGGAAAGAGCTGCTGGAGGGGACCCAGGTATGACTGAGAGGGTGCATGTGGGGCAGAGAGGCATCAAGAAGATGCCCACTAACCCGCCCCCAAAAATTTCCTCAGTAAGCTTTCCCACTCCAGGTGGTAGAAATGTAGGAACAAAGTATTAGTTACTCCAAGAGTCTAAGATACAGAAAACTGGTGTTAAGTATTATTTACACATGACCTACGCTCAGAGGCAGACTGCTACAAATTATAGGTAACCCTAACACTGTTCTGAGGAGAAGGCAGTGGCAGCCCACTCCAGTGCTCTTGCCTGGAAAATCCCATGGACGGAGGAGCCTGGTATAGGCTGCAGTCCATGGGGTCGCTACGAGTCGGACATGACTGAGCGACTTCACTTTCACTTTTCACTTTCATGCACTGGAGAAGGAAATGGCAACCCACTCCAGTGTTCTTGCCTGGAGAATCCCAGGGACGGGGGAGCCTGGTGGGCGGCCGTGTATGGGGTCGCACAGGGTCGGACACGACTGAGGTGACTTAGCAGCAGCAGCAGCAACACTGTTCTGAACTCAGGGAGCTTGGTTCACTGCTGGAGCAGGGCCTCAGTGAGCAGGGGTTGAGTTTCTGGCATAAGAACATAAACTGTGATGATTTCACTGCATGGAAGTACCAGGTATCCACATAGTAAAGATGACTGCCTGACACGGAAATCCAACAAACGTTCCCCACAAAGGGTTCTGAGACTGGAACCCAGAGAGACAAACATCCTGCCCAGCCTTGAGCCAGAAATGTACTTGGTGGGATGTCCCTCCCGAGCAGACTGCTAGGTATATATACTTTAATAGTAAATAATAATCACAAATATCCTAATAATTTTTCAACTGTTCATAATAATCAAAAACATAGAAAAAACAAGATGTATACGTAAAATCTTCCAGAAGGAACTACCAGAGTGAAATTAACATTTACTATGTACTTCAAGACATTTATTTAATAGATGTTTGTTTTCAAAAAAAGGAAGCATCCCACAGTTAAATTAGTTTGGAAATCATTGACTCAAACAGGTTTCATCACACAGCTTAGCAGTCTGGCATGTTACTCAGCAAAAGGGGAATAAATCTGTCTTTCTCCAACTTTCTTTAACCCGGAAACCTCCCACCATGAAAGAGCCAATAACATCTCAACCAGTGTTTCACGGAACCCAGTTTGGGAACCCTTGTCTACCTATAAAATAACACAAGGGCACTATGAATAACAAAAAAACCAAACCACTTGTACTTTACTAACTACACTGGACAAGAAAAAACATCAATAAGTTAAATATAAACCTCATATTCAATATAAAAAAAGGGGGGGATTTGTAATGTAAGTAAATTTGATGTGTTTTCTGAATAGCCAGTAATGAATTAACATGTTAACCACCAAAGGGGCCTATTACTAGTTCAATATCTGTTAATCACGTGCCACTCAGCAAAACTCAGGCCTAAATATTTAACTTTAGACTGAAATTTTATTTTTAAATTTTTAGAAGACAAATTTTCTAATTTATTTCTAGTTTCCTAACCTTTGGACACAATGCATAAAATGCTTCTGTGAGGAACTTGAGAAGCAAAATTTAAGCAAAGCTAGAACTTAAAATCATTTAAAAGAATTAAGCCATCTTCACTGATGTGGTACCTATATACAATGGACTACTACTCAGCCATAAAAAAGAAAGAAATAATGTGATCTGCAGCAACATGAATGCAACTAGAAATTATCAGACTAAGTCAGGAAGAGAAAGACAAATACTGTATGGTATCACTTACATGTGAAATATAAAATATGACACAAATGAAGCTATTCATGACAGAAATAGACTCAGGGATGTAAGAACAGACTGGTGGATGTGAAAGGGGAGTGAGTAGGGAGGGCTGGAGTGGGAGTTTGGGACTATCAGATGCTAACTATCACATACAGAATGGATAAACAGGGTCCAACAGTACAGCATAGAGAACTATATTCAATATCCTATGATAAATCAGAATGGAAAAGAATATAAAGAATGCATATATATGTATAACTGAATCACTTTGCTATATAGCAGAAATTGACACATTTTAATCAACTGTATGTCAATTAAAAATAAATACACCATCTTCATCATATTACTTTTACTATTTGCAAAGAAAAAAAAAACAAGATAATTCGGATTTCATTACCAAATGGAGTGGTCCAGGTGGCGGGCTAGGTATTAAACACAGCTTTGCAGCAAAATCTTTTATGTGATTGTCAACTTCGAAATCTTTACAGAACTTCAGATGAGTCAATAAACTGAAATTGAAAGAAAAATCAAATCACAAAATAAATACGAGCACCCAATCATCATCTTCTGCATTGCTAATCAGAGCTGAAATCTCTGCTCCAGGAGTTCCAGGACTTCTCACCACCAGGGGAGTACTCTGGGTGTGGCAGCCCATAAGCCTGGCTGCCCAGCTTGCAGGCAGGCTTTCCGGGGAGGGTGCAGACTCACCAGGAGAGACAGTCCTTGAGGGCGTTGTAATAGGGGAACCTGGAGACCACACACACCGCGAAGGGCACGAAGCAGCCGGCCGCACTGCCGCCCAATCCCGATGCCTCCCAATGCGTCTTGCCGTTGTAGAAGCAGTACTCGTCCTGGAGAAGAGCAACAGCACCATCACTTCCTGGCAAACCCTGGCAAACCTCAGGCTCCATCTTCAGTGGTGCCGGCCTCTCCAGAGAGGCGCCTGGACCGGGGCTGGACAGGTCTGGCTGGTCCCGCCTGTGCCACCACCTCACGAGAGAGAGCACCAGCCTCTCCACCAGCACGGATGGAGCCCGTGAGGAGCTCGCTCTGCGTGAGGTGCTGGAGTTACACAGATGGTAAGACTGGACCCTTCCCCGGGAGAAGCTTGCTGCCTTCAGTGAGAGGGGTGCACAGTTAAGAATACAGTGAGACATGAGAAGGGGGCCCCGCTTAGGCAAAAGGCAATATTCAAGAGGGCTGGGAACCAGGTGGGCATCGTGGACTGAGGATAGGGCAGGTGGGGTCCTCGGCCCATGATGGGGGGATGTCCACCAGAAAAGAACACAGCAGCGGGATTCCTAAAGGCACAGCTCTCTGCACAGCTCACAAAGGGCACAATATCAGAGCGCCCACCATGTGTGTGGAGAAAACATAATTCCAAGAGACACGTGCCCCCAAGGTCCATAGCAGCACTGTTTACAAGAGCCAAGACAGAAGCAACCTAAGCGTCCCTCCGCAGGTGAATGGATAAAGAAGACGTGGTGAATATACACGATGGAGTACTACTCAGCCATAAAAAGAATGAAATAATGGCGTTTGCAGTAACATGGCTGGACCTAGAGATTATCGTACTAAGCGAAGTAAGCCACAGAAAGACAAATTTCATATGACATTGCTTATATGCAGAATCTAAAACGATGAGACAGTGAACTCATTTACAAAACAGGAATAAATTCACAGAAAACAACTTTATGGTGACCAAAAGAATAAAGGGAGAGGGATAAATTAGGATTTGGGGATTAAAATATATATACTTCTACATATAAAATAAACAGCAAGGACCTACTGTATAGCACAGGGAACTATATTCAATATCTTATAATAACCTATAAAGGAAAGGATCTTAAAAAGTCTATGCATATATGTGCATAACTGAGTCACTTTGCCACACAATGAAACTAATACAATATTGTAAATCAACTACATGTCAATTAAAAAAATTTTTTAAACTATGTAAAAAATATAAGGGATCCCCATCTGGGCCCTAGGGGACTATTCCTCGGGGTTGGAAGTAGGCAGCCCATTACCCCGTACCTTCCGGTCCATCATGGTCCCTACAAATACCCCCAGGCCAGCTGGGTCACACACAGCAGCCCTGCTCAGAAAACACTCCCTAAATGCTTGATGACTGAGTCATCTTCTCCAAACCTAAGCCAGGGACCTGACACATATGAAAACAATCCCCGTGCCCTCCGCTGAGGAATGCAGACGCAGGACGTGGTTTATACACACCGTGGGGTATCACGCAGCTGTGAAAAGCAGTGAATCCCTGACACGTGCTCCAACACAGACGAGCTCTGAAGACATCACACCAAGTGGGGAAAAGCCAGCTACCGAAGGACACGTGTCATATGATTCCACCGACACGAAATGCCCGGCACAGGCAAAGCTACAGAGGCAGACAGCAGACTAGCGGGGGCCCAGGGCTGGGGGCAGCGGGGACTGGGGAGCACTGCTAATGAGACCCCACTGCCTTCTGGGGTGATAAACACATCCTGGAACTAGACGGTGGGGATGGTGGCTTGGCCCTGTGAACACACTTAATGCCACTGAACTACACATTTTTTAATGGTTAAAATAGTGATTGCTACGTAGTGTGTATTTCACTGCAAAATAACCCCACAACCTAGACCCAGTTTCAGAAGGAAGCTGTGCGAACCACGTACGTGCAGCGGTCGGTAGTACTGTGCCACCACGCCATAGGTTCTGTTGCCGCAGACGTCGGTCAGCACCAGAAAGTGGATGCAGTCCTCTCTGGGCTCAGAGGCCACACACAATCCCCCTGTAGGAAGACAAAAGAAAGAAGGAGCCTCAGTCCAGTCACGTGGGGTCCGCCCTGAGACCTGGGCTAACCACAGCGACAGGACACGTCCCCCCACCCCGTGGTCACATGTGGCTCTTCGACGGCCAGTCAGGCTAACTCCTCAGGCTGCGAAGCCCCTCCCTCTGTCCCCCCCCCCGCCCTCCCCCCAGCAGCAGTGTCTCTGCCGGTGCTCTGTGCTCTGAACACTTCGTGAAGGGTCAGGGGGACAGGCCCCCAGGCAGAACCTTCAGGCTGCACCTGGAGTAGGGGCTGGGCCCTGAGCCCAGCGGAGGAGGGGTGTCCAGCCTTTGCAGGTTTTAATCCCCAACACCAGGAAACCCCATCAATTTCTCAGTGGAGCCTCAAGACAGGCCCTTCTGTCGAGTCCTTTGGCCCAGGTTTTCTACACCAGACACCTGCACCTCTCTCGCAAACCAGGGAGAAAGTGAAGCCAGAACAGAAGCCCGCTCATCAGCGGGAACTGGCCCATGGAGGAAAAGGCCAGCCCGTGCGCACCTGGGAAGCAGAGCTGCGGCAGAGCCAGCAGGTCCACGCCGTTGGGGATGCTCACGTCCTCGGGGTCTGGGCCCCTGGGGCCGCCGGGGACACCCTTCCCCAGCTCCACTCTGGGCCTCTCTCTCTTCTTCCGGAAGGAGCGCTTCCTGTTCTTACCCAGAGTCATGCAGTTCATGCCAGCCAGCTGACTGTCCTCCTTCATGACAAAAGGAGGCACGAAGACTGACAACACCGCCGGATCCAGAGAAGACGGGCCCTTGACGCCCTTCCTCTGGGCAACCTTAAGCAGGAGGAAATGAGAGTCAGCACCGAGGCCCTATGCTGTCCAGCCCTCGCGGGAGCATCCATGGTCTGTCTTCTGGCCTCTCCAGCCCCCAAGCCCCAGGCGAGCTCAGCAGTGTGTGCCTGGCTTTTCCCACCAGCAGCTGGAGATGACAAGACCTGCTTTTAGGGACTCTCAGGACCTTGCTTCGTGAGCGACGGACCCGCTCAGAGCCTGGTCATTCAGCCGCTGACACAGACATTAAACTGGCCCCTCGGCTCCAAGGCTCCAGCACCGTGATAGAGACCTGAGTTCAAATCCCAGTGCCGCGGCAATCACAGCAGATTACCTGGCCCCTCTGAGCTTCCCTTTCAAGAGGCGAGTTCAGGGACTAAGAGAGGGGACCCAGTTCAAGTGCTCAACCCCTGTGGGCCCCCAAGAAGCTCCTGAGCCCCCGCAGAGGCTGGTGTGGAGGGTGAGCCCCGAGAAGGGCTCTGCGTCTCATCAGATCCACACAGACACGTTTGCTGACACGTGCCCGATGCCTGCTCCCTGGAAGAAACGCTCTGACAAACCTAGACAGCATATTAGAAAGCAGAGACATCACTTTGCTGACAAAGGTCCGTAGAGTCAAAGCTATGCTTTTTCCAGTAGTCGTGTATGGATGTGAGAGTTCAACCATAAAGAAGGCTGAGTGCCAGAGAACTGAGGCTTTCAAACTGTGGTGCTGAAGACTCTTGAGAGTCCCTTAGACTGCAAGGAGATCCAACCAGTCCATCCTAAAGGAAATAAACCCTGAATGTTCATTGCAAGGACTGAGGCTGAAGCTCCAATCCTTTGGCCACCTGATGTGAAGAGCCGACTCATTTGAAAAGACCCCGATGCTGGGAAACATTGAGGGCAGGAGGAGAAGGGGACGAGAGAGGATAAGATGGTTGGATGGCATCACTGACTCAATGGACATGAGTCTGAGCAAACTCCAGGAGTTAGTGAAGGACAGGGAAGCCTGGCATGCTGCAGTCCACGGGGTCACAAAGAGTCGGACACGACTTAGCAGCTGAACAACAAGACTGCCATGCCAGCCGGGCCACCACGCACGTTGCTGTGTTGCCTCTGACATGGAGGGACACAAAGAGGGGTGACGGAGGCCCCGCTGCACATAGAGGAGCAGCCTCCTCCCTCCATCCACATGACCGTCCCAGGAGCCACAAAAGGGGCTCTTTTAGCCTCAGTTCTTTTTCAGCTCTAACTTGGTCCAAGATTTTAAGCTTTTATCTTTTCACTCTTCCCCCAAATAACATAAGGCATCTTCTAACTCTTTCCTATCAAACTAAATACCTGAGGGAGTTCTTCCTGGTGAGTTAGGACTAAACAAACATTGGCGCCAGGTTGATGTCGGATCTTCCAAGGAAGGCATATGAACCTCAGTCTGTGAGTGAGAAGGAAGAGGTGCCCAGCCAGCTAAAGATAGGCAAGTTTAAAGCAGGGTCCTCTGGGTATGAAAGGTAGGGAAGGAAAGAGGTGGCCTGGGCCCCATGGTGGGGATGGGTATCCTAGGGCCTTTGAGGGAGCCTAGAAATGGCATGAGGAAGAACACCACTTCCCCAGAAAAATGTGACCGTGACTGGCAGAGAAGGGACAGCCAGCAACAACATTTCAATAAGAACCAGAGGTGTAACAGGGGACACCTAGCCTTCAAAGGACTTCTATAACGACAGCATTTTCAGTCAGTAATACATTCGAAGCTCAACATGCTCATTTTCATGAGACGTAATCTGAATTCAGATAACAGTTTCCTTATTCTTAGGGGGGGAAATTAATGCCAAGGACCAGCAGGTCCTTGGTCAGTAGGAACCAAGATCAAACATGGGAAATCCCTATCGTATAATTTAAAATCTTCGTGTATGCAAAGAAATCTTGTCTTCACATGTATGAAATCTTCTCTAAAACTTTCCTATCAAACTCCAGCAGTTTGGACCAATTCACTATGAAAACATGCTGGTCTATTTCCTCCTCATGTGAGATGTTACATCCAGAGAAACTGGGCAGCACCTCACCTCACGGTGAAACAGCTCCTGGAACAGATCACAGTCCACAGTCAGAGGAACAAACAAGCCCTCTCCACACAGCATGAGACAGCTTTTGTTGTTGTTCGGTCGCTAGAAAAGTGAAAGTGAAAGTAGCTCAGTGGTATCTGACTCTTTGTGACCCCATGGACTAGTCCATGGAATTTTCCAGGCCAGAATACTGGAGTGGGTAGCCGTTCCCTTCTCCAGGGGACCTTCCCAACCCAGGGATAGAACCCAGGTCTCCCGTACTGCTAAGTCGTGCCCAGCTCTTTTGCGACCCTATGGACCCCTCAGGCTCCTCTGTTCATGGAATTCTCCAGGCTAGAATACTGGAGTGGGCTGCCATTTCCTTCTCCAGGGGATCTTCCCAACCCAGGGATCAAACCTGCAGCTCCTGCACATTGGCAGGTGGATACTTTACCACTGAGCCACCTGGGAAGCCCGTATCAAACAGCTGATAAGCTCTTTTTCCTGAAACTTCCTGAGGCTACCTCCCTTCTGCAAATCACTTATCTGGCTGCCCCCTGGCAGCCCCCTGCAGACTCCTTCTTCCCCGCTGTGACCCTCGGGCCGATCCTTGGCTCCAGTCCCTCCTTGCACAACAGCCTGCAGGGCCATCTCCACACCCCTGTGGTTCCATCTACATGCATGGGGACAGCTCCCAGGGTCCAACTCCCAGAGCTGGGGCCTCTGTCCCATCCCAGCAGAACTTGACTGCCTCCGAATACATTCAGTGGGTCCCTTAAACCTAGTTTCAAAAGTTTAGCTCACGCTCACTTCCAAAACCCTGATCATCCACCTCTGGTCCTCTGAGATGGGATGACACCACTTGGGTCTTCAGAGCTGGGCCGGCACTGTGGCCCCTCCCTCCGGTCAGGAGGGCACAGAAAGGTCTCTACAAACTGCCAGCTGCTGCTCCATCTGTACCACACACGTTCGCAAACCCGGGGCTCAGAGCACTCCCTTACAGGTTCACCAGGAACTAATCTTCATGGTTATGGCCATGAGAATGACCCCTCCCACCCACCTGGCCCTACTTCCACTCTCCCAAAGGGGGTCCCCTGTCTAAAGAGCTCACATTACTCATCACCCCCCCTGCCCCAACAGCAGTGGCTCCAGCTGCCTGGCACCAGCCTCTTACCCCAATGAACCAGCCCTGCAGACCAATCTCTGTCCCTTGGGCATGTGTGCTGAGTCGCTTCTGTCGTGCAACCCCAAGGACCATAGCCCACCAGGCTTCTCCGTCCACGGGATTCTCCAGTCAAGAACACTGGAGTGGGTTGCCATGCCCTTCTCCAGGGGATCGTCCCAATCCAAGGATCGAACCTGCATCTCTCAAGTCTTGTGCATTGGCAAGCGGGTTCTTTACCACTGGCATGGCCTGGGAAGCCAGACCTAAAAAAACGCCTTTGTTTCTACTCATTATCATCCTCACTGCGTACTCCCATGCAGGGATCCCACAGTGCATGTGTCCCGGGTCAGGCCGGCCCCTGCACTGCTTGTGCACCTGGGCAGCAGCCGGCCCACTTCCAGGGCGCCCAAGCTGCTCATGCTTGAAGTCCTCGGTCACCTCGATACACATGCCCCTGTCACAATGCTGTGCTTCTTCCTGCTCTTTGCTCTGCGGGACAGTGCCCAGCTCATGCCTCAGCCCCTCCTCACCAGAGACCCCTCCTCTCTCACACTCACTGGAGGGGGCCTTTCCTCACCCTGCAGCCAGGGCCACACGCCCCGTCTGGCCATCACGCCTGGCTCATCACCTCCGGAACGTCACCATCCAGAGCCCACCTCCCCTCTCACAGCACTCCTAGAGGGTCGCTGCCGACACAGTGGTCCTGGATCACCCTCAGAAGGTAGGGTGGGGAGCAGGGCTGTGCTGCCCTCCTCTTTCTGGCCCTGTGGGGGTGCTGTTCATCCAGTCCCACCCTGGCGCCCGTGATCTCTGGAGGCGTGCTCAGTCCGCACGGAAAGTTGGTCATTAGGCTAATGCCTGTGAACGCTACAACTCCCACTACTTACCTTCAGGCAGTGCAAGTGACGTAGCCACAGTACCGCCAACCCGGTATTTAGCAGTTCATCACACAGCTGTCTGTTTTTCCCCCAAAATGGAAATCCCTGTTGTCTTTTCTGATTAGATAAGCAATACAGTCTCATTTAAAAAAATAATAACAATAATACAGAAATAATAATAGAAAGGGAATGCTAAAGCAATGCTCTACACAGCATGGGACACCGGCTGATCATTTCCTAAATGTATAAATGATTTTTTCATAAACACAATCATCATATTTAAATGATTTCATGAGCCTTTCCCCATGTAACCAAACAGTGTGCTGACTCCCCTGGTGACACTTTGTAATAAGTCACTCCAGTCCTGTCTGACTCTGTGTGACCCCATGGACTGTAGCCTACCAGGCTCCTCTGTCCATGGGCGTCTCCAGGCAAGAGCACTGGAGTGGGTTGCCATGCCCTCCTCCAGGGAATCTGCTCAACCCGGGGATCAAACCCACATCTGTTACATCTCCTGCACTGGCAGGTGAGTTCTTTACCACTAGCGCCACCAGGGAAGCCCATGGGGACACTTTAGGGTGTCCCACTGTGCACAGTTCAGCACTACTTTTGCCCAATCCCCTTCTGACAGACAGCTGGGTTGTTCTCAAGTCTTCATCACACTAAACAACGGGCAGTTACTTGTACATGCTTGAGCATCTCTGACTCTGTAATTAGACTAAACTCCTGAAAGTGCAACCCTTGACCCCAAAGGGTTCATATTACTCTCTGATACACACTGCAACCGCCCCTCACCCGCCCCACCCACAGGAGGAAGACGAGGTCCTTTTTCACAAACTCCACCCAGGGTAGTTTCCTGCTCTCGTCTCTCAGACGAGAACTTACTAAAAAGTAAAAACCACAACACTCTAAATTCATTAGATGATATAATGGCATTGATCCTCACTATGGGACTGGCTGTCATTTGTGAAATAAAACAGAAATAGATTTTTTTTAAATGCTCTAGGAAAGTCCAACACAGTCACCAGTAGCCACATCTGACTACTTAAATTAATTAAAATTAAATGAAATATAAAATTTAGTTCCTCAGGGGCACTAGCCACACTTCGAGCAGCCAGCAGCCCCCTGTGACCAGCGGCTACTGCTACCACACTGCGTGGTGAAGGTGAACAATACTGGTTGTCATCATCTGAGAAGTTCTGTAGGAGAGTGCTGCTCGAGAAACTGAAAGCCAGGAGGCTTTCCACTAAAAAAAATAAATAAATAAAAATGTGCTTCCATACACAAGATTTATGCCAGTAACCTACACTATGAAAGGGGCTCTGAGCACTTTTCCATCATCCTGTGACAGATTTATGATGGATGCCCTCGCATCTCTGTCTAGTCTCCATAGCAACCAAGGAGTGGAGGGAAATGTAACTGACCACAATAACTCACTAGGGATTGAACTGTATGCTTGAATTCTTTGTCACTAACCTCAATAAAACAAACACCACCCCATCTAAGGAATAAATAAAACAGAAGGTTAGGACACTACACTATCCTAACATCAAGCTGGATATGTCTCATATCTCTGGGCTTCTGTTTTCATGTGTCACCAAATAGGGATGACTGAATCAGAGACAAATGATTTTTAAGAAGTAAAAGCTAAACCTCATTTAAAAGACTTGGAAAACAGTGGAAACAGTGGCAGACTTTATTTTTGGGGGCTCCAAAATCACTGCAGATGGTGACTGCAGCCATGAAATTAAAAGACGCTTACTCCTTGGAAGGAAAGTTATGACCAACCTAGACAGCATATTAAAAAGCAGAGACATTACTTTGCCAACAAAGGTCCATCTAGTCAAAGCTGTGGTTTTTCCAGTAGTCATGTATGGATGTGATATTTAGACTATAAAGAACGCTGAAAAAAAAAAAAAAAAGCTGAGCACTGAAGAATTGATGCTTTTGAACTGCGGTGCTGGAGAAGATTCTTGAGAGTCCCTTGGACTGCAAGGAGATCCAACCAGTCCATCCTGAAGGAGATCAGTCCTGGGTGTTCATTGGAAGGACTGATGTTGAAGCTGAAACTCCAATACTTTGGCCACCTCATGCGAAGAGCTGACTCATTTGAAAAGACCCTGATGCCGGGATAGATTGAAGGTGGGAGGAGAAGGGGACGACAGAGGATGAAATGGTTGTATGGCATCACCAACTCAATGGACATGAGTTGGAGTAAGCTCCGGGAGTTGGTGATGGACAGGGAGGCCTGGCGTGCTGCAGTCCATGGGGTCGCAAAGAGTCAGACAAGACTAAGCGACTGAACTGAACTGAAAAGACTTGGACATTCAAAATAATATAACAGCTGAAAATAGACCTGAATGAATGATATCCTATGTTCGGTTACCTGTAACATTAATGTTGGTCTTAGAAGGAGGATGTTACTCCACCCCACAACACTGCTCTTTCTCCTGCTCCTTTAACCACTGTTCCTTCCACCCTCTGCCCAAGCCCTAACAGAAGCAAGGTATAGAAAAGAGGATGAAGGCTCAAATGCAGAATGGCCGACTGCCCACTTGCCTTGGCAAACACTGTAGTCTGTTTAGTTTAGGAAAGTACCACTGTAAATATTCCAGTTGATTCATCCCCTCACATCATGGCAACTAAGAGACAGTGTTGTAATCGCTGGAGACACAAGACAGCCTAACTGCAGAGACCACAACCGAAACCAGGTCATTTCCCGTCAGAAGAAAAAGAGGGGACACTTGGCACTGAGAGGCAGGGAGATGACTCGATTCAATCCACAAGGGCCAGAGGACACAAGAGACCAAAGAGGGACCCAGACTGAGAGGGCTGACTGAGAGAGGAGGAGGGAATGCAGAAATCGTGGAAACTGGCCTTATACTAAAGCCAAGGAGTAGAGACCACTAAGCCATTACTACACATATATCAGGACCACTTTACATTTAGCTCCTCTGGGTAATGTCCATTCAATCCGGCAGCCTTAAATACTCAAATGCCTTTCTCTGCCTTTCCTAAATGTCATCTGGAACCAGAGGAAAGGACCTGCCAGGGTAACTGGGCAGCAGGGTCAGGGACTCTGAACACACCGGGCATCGCCACTAACCGGCGATGTCAGAGAAGAATGACAGCGTCACAAGCATCTGGGACAAGGGACAGGGCCGCAGACCCACCCCAGACAGAGCCAGGGCTCTGGAACTAAGAAAAAGTGAGAACACAGGGAAGAAACAAGAACGTCCCAAGCTGCCATCCCAGAGAAAGGGATAGGAGCTTGCCACTTTGGCTACCAGGGTGCAGAGTGGAGAACAAGAGGAGGCGGCTTGTAAAGTGTTTTACAGCGAAAAACAGCTCCTTTCATCGCTTACCGTCTAAATGCAAAATACATAAAGGCGGCCCTTAAGTCTACCAAAAACATCCTTATGCCCTGCCTAGAACAACCACGGTACCTAGGAGACACAGAATCTGCGGAATGAGTGAAATCACGTAACAGCGGACAAACATTTGGTCCTGGAGGCCTCAAAAGTGCAGGCGGCCCGGCCGCGTCTACACCTGACCCAGGTGGGCGTCCTAGGACAGAGAAGCCTTAGCGGCCCAAGCGCTTAAGAAACAGGCCGACGGAGGCGCGCGGTCTCCAGCCCGCTCTCCGCGGTACGCCTGCACCGGGTCCCCGCCGGAGCGGTCTTCCGGAAGGAGGGGAGCGGGCGGGAGCCCCCAGGCCGCAGCCGCTCTCGACTCCACCGCGGCAAGGGGGCAGGCCGGCAGTTGCTACCTCACCGGCGGCTGAAGGCGGCCGCCGCGCCTTACCTGGGCGCAGCGCCCCCGCCCCGCGGACGCCTGGGGCTCCATGCGCACGGGCCCGACCCCGCCGCCCCGCCCCGCCTGCGCCGTGACCGCGCCGCGCCCTCACCTGCTCCGGGCTGGGGAGGCTGTCCCGGGGGGTCCCCAGCAGCGCGCACAGCTCCAGCAGCCCCGAGGGCAGCGCCGGGTGATGCGGCACGGCTTCCGCCATGGCTGCCCCGCGGCCGCGGCCGACTGGGCACACCGGGCTCGGGCGCCTCGGGCCACCCGGCCCGGACTTCGGGCCGCAACCCCGCCCGCCGCCCTACCCAGCGCCCGCGCGAGCGGCAGCCGGCTGGTCCTCCGACAGCGCTGTCCGCGGGGCGGGGCCAGATGCGGGGGCGGTCCCAGATGTGGGGGCGGGGTCTTTGAGAGGCGGGGCGGGAGGGCGGGGCCTGTCTGAGAGGGGCGGGGCCTGTCGGCCCACCGGTCTGGCGCGCGAGCTCGTCATTTCCTAACCGGCTCCGCGGCCTCCGGCGCGTGCGCGACGTCTGCGAGCCCAGCGCCCCAATCTGTCAGCCTCTCCTCTCCCAGCCGCCGCCTCCGCTCCCGGGAAACCGGGAAGAGGTGGGCGGGGTCGCCGGGTGGGCTCGGAGCAGCCCACCAGCGCCGCGGGTGCGGGAGTCTCCTGCAAGTCCCTGAGCCCAACCCTGGAAGGACTAAAAGGTCAGGGCCACCTCGTGCCGCCGCCGACTCCAGGAAGCCCTCCTGCAAGCAGGGCCGTGGAGTTGGCCTGGCCGGGCGTTGGAGGGCAGGAAAGGCCGGCGAGCCAAGGGCGCCCGGTTAATAACTTTGCCCGGTTAACCTAAGACTGCCCGAGTCCGCTATGAGATTGAGTAAAATTCATCAGGAAAGGGGGCAGTGTGGGCGGTGCTAGAATAGAACCCGAGGAGCGCGGGACTGAGGAGGGTCGGGGGATGGACAGAGCTCTTCCACGACCAGCTGCAGGCCTGGCTTGTTCCCAGTGGACCGTGAGCCTCCCCAGCCAGAGGCTGGGCCAAGAGGCTGGTTTCGGGGCCTGGTCACTGGCACAGAACTCGGAGGGGACACAGGCCGCAGTCCTATCTCTGCCTCCCAGCAGACCTTGGGCAGCATCTGTAAAACCGGGTGGAAAATGGTTGCAAAGGAACTTTTCTAGTTCTAATAATACATGATTCTTTTTTTAAAAAAAATCTGAAATGCTTAATAATAATGTCAAACAATAACGACAAAGCAAGGTCAAAATCAAAACAGGGTTGGGGGGTGGGGTAGATCCGGACGCCAAAGGATTCCTTCAACCTTTCCAGCCTGGTGAGGCCCCACCAGCTGCAGCCTGACTCACATGGGATTTGTGTTTCACTGTTAAGTCATCTAAGATCGTGAGTCAGGTCTGGTGGCTGCCTGACATCCCTGGCCTTCCTCAGTAAGCCGTAACCGGTAGTGGCAACCACTGACTTGAAAAGAAAGACAGAGTTTGCTCACACTGGTCTGGCTCTCTCCACTATGTCCGGGTTGTTGGCGGCCTTGGCGGAGGGCAGGGTGGAGTCTGTCACCTCAGAGCTCAGGAGGCTCACAGACGCTGCTGGAGGTGTGCACAGCAGAGCCGTGGGTGTGCAGGGACCCAGGTTGGCGTCTGCCCCGAGTGAGCTGTGTGACAGTTGTGTTCCTCGCTACCCCGACCTCAGCTTCCTGTCTGTTCAAACGCTGTCCGGTGTGGCCAGGACTCAGGAGGTAAACGCGAGGCAGCGATCTCGGTGGGGACCCGGTGAGGTTCACACAGGCGCAGGTGTCCCATTTCCTCCCACAGGTGGAAGGGTTTAAGGAGGGGAGCTCCAGAATTGGAAAGTCCTGCCGGGCTATAGACATGGCTATGCAATCCCCCCTTTTCTAGGGCCTTCCTTTCCTCATCCTTAGCCCTGGAGAAGGGACCAGGTGACCTTGAAGGGGCTCCTAGCACCTCACTCTTGCTTTTTGATGAGCTCATTCCCTAGGGATTTCCTAGTGCCTCCAGTAAGATTTGCCCCCTTCTTGAGAGTGCTGATGGACTGGAGATAGAAGTGGATGTAGCCAGCAATCAAAATCGCCAGCGCGTGTAAGCGTCACTTAGAGGCTGACATGCAGATGAGGGAGGAAGGGAAGAGCTGAGCCTAGCTGACAAGCCCACCGCCAGGGTAGGTATCACATCGGAGTCAGGGTAAGAACTTGAGTTCTTTAACTTGATGAATTAAAGAACTTGCTGGCACAGTACCTGCCTGGCAACAGTCTTTCACAAATAGTTTCCCCTCCTTCCCCTCCAGTCTGTGTAGTTTGTTTACTATTCAGTCCAGCTCTCAGGATTACTGTGCAGATCAAGTGGGAAAATATATATAAAAATGTTTCTGAACCGTAAAGTACTGATGCAGAAATAGGGGGCACGCACACCGTTGTGAATTTATTAAATGACACTAAGTTGTTTACCTTGAAATGGTTAATTTTCTGGAATGGAATTTGGCTTCCATAAGTTATTTTTTTAATAGCATTTATAAGGACTGCAGTCTATCAACACTTCTTTGGGCATTTTAGCAAGGGTTAGGTGTTAACTACAATTCTTTTGAAAAATATAAGGACTGATGGGGGAGCTTCATAGAATTGGATTTAGCAGTGATTTCCATCTGACATCAAAAACACAGGCAATGAAAGAAAAGTAGATGATTTCATCAAAACTAAACAGTTTTGGTGCAACAGAGGGCAATGTGGAAAAAGCAAAAAGGCAATCCACAGAATAAGAGAAGATGTTTGCAAATCATATATCTGATAAGGGATTAATAGTCCATAGCTCAACAACAAAACAACCCAATTTTTTAAAATTTATAAAGCATTGAATAGATGTTTCACCAAAGAAGATATGCAAAAAGTATAGGAAAATGTGTTCACTAAGCACTAGAGAAATGCAAATCAAAGCCCACCTCACACACACTAGGATAGCTACTATAAAAATATAAAATAAAAAAGGACTACTGTCGGCCAGGATGTGGATAAACTGGAACCCTTGTACATTGTTGGTAGGAATGTAAAATAGTACAGTCACTGTGGAAAATGGTATGGCTGTTTCTCAAAAAACTAAACATAGAACTGCCATTTGATCCAGCAGTTCAACTCCTGGATAGCTGTGCAAAATAACTGAAAGCAGGGACTCAAGTATCTGTGCTCCCATGTCTTTAGCAGCATTTTTAGAATAGCCAATAGGTGGAAATAACCCAAACGTCCATCAATGGACGGATAGATAAAAAGATATTCTTTTACTTTCAATAAAAAAGCTGTGACCTCACTCTATTTCACACGTCTCCCCAGCTGGTTTAGTGCCCAGATGCACAGCTTTCTCTACTTTTTCCTTTGCTGCTTCAGAGCCATATGTAATAGGATGTAATATCTTCTTATGTAGATATAAATATGCAAATGCAACCAGTTTATGAGGACTTGGTGGTTGATATGAAAGTGAAATAGTCTCCAATGAAAAAACCTTGCCGTAACAACCACAGACATAGGGGACAAATGTGTGAGATGCTCAGCATTCTCAAAGCAGCATCCCTCTGTCCCTTGAAGAAGGGAGAAAATAGGTAATCAGTGATCTGGTCATCAGTAAAGGGGTATTGTCACATGACAGCATGTGGGCACTGTAACTGTTCAGGCAGGCCAGCCATCTCTCACCCCTGGATTAAAAGTCCACCCTGGGGGCCTGCTCCAGCCCTGCCTCTGACTGTGCCCCTCCTGTGCTCCCCAGATTTGCCTGCATTCCCCCAGATGCATAGTACTTTCAGGCTTCCCTGCAGGCTACCTGACCTGCCCCTGCCCTACCCCACCTCCTCCCACTCATGTAGGAAGACCACACAAGGAACAGGCAGGCGGCCGGCGGAGGAGCCTCCAGGACAGAAGACTTTGGCAGGCCTGTGGACATCAAATGGGACACCCTGCAGGCCGCTTGTGTGTGTGTGTGTTTGGGTCTGGGCCCTTTCTTCCCTCTCCTGTGGCAGATAGGATAGGAGAATATAAGACAGCCAGAGAGGGCAGTTATGACAGATGGCACGTAGGCTCTGGACAGGGGGTGTCAGGTGATGCCCACATCCCGGAGAGATGTGGGGTGATGGGGTCACAGCAGACAGTGCAGGCGCTGCTGGTAGTCAGGGTAACCACACTGCAGGAAGGGCCCCCTCGCCCAGTGACCCTGCCCTGCCCAGACAGCGTGCTCCTGCCCCAACCAGCCATACCCCATTATTAAACTTTGCTTCCTCTTCAAAAACTAATGAATAAGAGGAAGCCGTGTATTGTGAATGCAGACCGCCCAGGCCCACGTGGAGACCGCCCAGTTTGCCCTCAGCATCTCGCGGGATTTTGCAGAGTGCAAACAGTCTCTTCATGTTGGCTGCAGGAAAGGATTCCATGGAACATTTCAACAAACCCTTCTGCCAGGCCCTTCCCTGAGCTGTGGAGGACCGGGCATTGGCCGAACCCAGGCAGCTGTGGTCCTACAGGCACCCTGAGCGACCTAAGCCAGGCTTCAAAATCACTGGGCTGATGCTACATTTTGTCAGTTGCAAAATGGAAGTAATAGACTTCCCTCCTACAAATAAAAACCTCTAGCTCTGCTCAGCAAACATTTATGCCAGCCACATGCTGACCACTGCCATGCATAACAACTTTGGCTAGTAGCAAAGCTGAAGATTCCCTCAGACTGCAAGAAGATCAAGCCAGTCAATCTTAAAGAAAATCAACCCTAAATATTCATTGGAAGGACTGATAATGAAGCTCCAATACTTTGGCCACCTGAGGCAAAGAGCTGACTCATTGAAAGACTCTGATGCTGGGAAGGATTAAGGGTAGGAGAATAAGGGGGCAACAAAGAATGAGATGGTTGGATGGCATCACCGACTCAAAGGATATGAATTTGAGCAAACTCTGGGAGATAATGGAGGACAGAGGAGCCTGGAGTGCTGCAGTTCATGGGGTCAGAAAGAGTCAAACAGGACTTAGGGACTGAACAACAACCAAGTGCTAACTCAGAATCTGCCCCGACATGGGTCCTGCCCAGCGCTCACGGCCGCATGGCCCCGGCACACTGTTCTCGCCCTGGCATGTCAGTTCCCGGTGCCCAGCTCCATGTCTGGTACAAAGTACTAGGTGCCCAAGGAGTATTTGACAAATAAAAGAATGAAGTTCCTCTGACCGTTGATCAGGGTCCACCTGGTCAGTGGGGTGACGCTTAGCAGTGACTCACTGACCCAATAGTGAGTAGAAAGAACAGTCACAGGAAAATATACACTATGATGTCATTTAATAAGTGTGGACAAAACACACACACGTAAGGAAACCCTGGAGGGCAGGGCATGCTGACAGCAGACTCAGCGCAGGGACAGGCTGGGTCTGCGCTCCTGCAGTGGGTGGCGCTGGGGGTGTCTGCATAAGGATGGGTGGAAGTGTCCTTTGTAAACACCTCATCAGGAAAAGAAACAAAGTCAATGGTTTCATCTATTTCTGGAACTCTGTTGAGTTTAACAAAATACAATTGCAGTAAAGATACTGCCCTAAATTCAATCACCAAGAAACTACCCCAGCCCCCGGTCCCTGAGGAGGTGGCCTGGAGCTAGGGAAAGGCTGAGAGAGGACAGAAGGAAGATGAAACGAGTGACTTCTAAAGGACACAGGGAAGATAGTCCGTTGCCTCCTGGGCTGTCTCAGGGCCCCAGCAGGCTGGTGGCCCGGGGGATGTCCACTCTGAAACTAGACCGCCCCCCAAGAAGGGTCTCCCTTAAAGAAAACTGTAGGCAGGAAAGGATGGTAGAAGGAAGACCCGGGAACCTGCAGCCCCAGTGCCAGGAGCCTGCGTCGACGCCTGCAGCTGCAGAGCCGAAGCCACTGTGCAGAGCCGCCCGGGGGCTCAGGGCCTACACGGCTGGGTGACAGCACTCATCCTCCTCTGCGCGAAGACAGACAGGAAGCTGCGGTCCGGCTGCCGCTGTGTGCTCGGGCGAGAGGAAGGTGGCAGATGTGAGAGCTGTCTTAACTCATCCGGACTAGGAATCAAGACAAATAAAAATAGACAGCTGACAGTAAACGGGTGGGAAAAGAGAAGTCAGGTACCAGCCCACTCAGGGCCCCAGAGGGAAGCCCAAGGTCACTCAAGGTTGTCTCCCACTGCACCTGCTGCTCCCACTGCCCTGGAATGCACGGCCCCTCCTTTCTCTCTGATAACTCTGACTTACCTTTCATTGGCTCAGATACCTCGTCTTCCAGGAAGCCCTTCCTCCCTGCTTCCTACACCCAGGCTGGGGCAACGGCCCTCCCCACCCTGTTACTTCTTGAGAAATCTCATCAGGTCCCTCTGACCATGAGGCTTATATGCCCTGTGCCTGCCCTTGGGCTCCAACCTTGGAACCAGCCTGACCTCTTGGTTGATTCTGGCTCCAGAGCCTCAGGTCAGCCCCCTCACGAGGGAACTTCTCCTGAGACAGGGTCCTGCCCAGCACCCATCAGATCGAAATGTTACCTGCACTGGATGCAGAAAGACCCATGACCAGCCTCAGCTTCCATCCTTCGCTAACTGTGAGGGTGATGGCAAGCCAACCCCGAGAGGCTGGGGTGAGGGCAAAGGGAACCCTTGGGAAATGCTGATACCCTGCTCCACTTTGCTCCAGATTCTCCCCTCCTTGGGAACCCCAGCACGTTGCAGAGCCTGGCCAGGTTAGAGGGAGGCGAGA